AGTGGAATGTTATCAGAATCCTTTAAAAGAAATGTATTTTTAATGTGTATTTTCTCTTATTATTTATTTTTTCTTAAAACTTCATTCATAAGTTTAATTGTCCCTTTATTTTTATTTTTTTTATTCGTTTAGTGTATTTTCCGGAAAATAAATAGATTTTCTTTAATTTCTTTTAAATTTTCTTTTAAAAATTTCTCCATTATATTTTTTCATATATTTTCCTTACTAATTAAATACATAAGTTTTCCGGAAATATCATCTAATTAAAATTCCGATTTCCAGAAAAACACATTATTTTATTATAAATTATAGCCACAAACACACCTTCTCATCTAAATGGGCAGCAACACGACTCGATTCCGGAAGACTGCCAGTAGAGTCTGCTGAATATAACCGTTGATTTCTAATAGTTCGTTGTCTATCAGAAGTTCCCTAAAAAATTAAAAGAAAAAATTTTCTTTTAAATTTAAATTTAAATACCCCAAGTATTTGAGATGCCGCTCTATTCAATTCAGACCCCATTTTTCCAATACCATCAATTAAATCTGAAGGAACAGCTGCAGCTGCATTTCCAAATGCTTTTACACCTCGAAATATTGGGTTAAACATTGCTTTCCCCATTGCTTTTGGATTAATAAAACTTTCTTTTGCAGAATATGTTTTTTGGCTCAAAAATTCAAAAATTAATTTTTCCAATCCCGGATTTTCTGATAAAACGGTTGGTTGAAGAATATACTTTAAATAAATAGAAAAAAATAAATTAAAAAAAATTCTTTTCTTACATTAATATATTGATTTAGAGCATAACAACGCTTTTCCAAAAATGCTCTGTCCAAATTGTTAAAAGTCTTTTTACCCGGAAAGCTCAAAGCATTTAAATTTGGAAACTGAAAAATATTTATTAAATTGTGTGTTTTATATTATGTATTTCACAAACACTATCCGGAAAAGGTTTATTTATTTATTTCTGTGTTTTCCGGAAAAATACACAAAAATTAATTTTTCCAATCCCGGATATAATGTATCCGGAAAGGGTTTAAAAAACATATATTCTCTAACAAACTAATCAGGAAAAATTATATTTTATATCTTTTCCGGATACCTACCTATATTCTATATCTTTTCCGGAAACAAATAAGTACAATTTAATTTCCGGAAAGAATATCTCCACCCTACAATATTTTCCCTTTTTTCTTTTTATTTGTTTTCCGGAAAAATATATATACCGATATTCTCTACAAAAATAACCGGAAAAGTTATATTTACCTTTTCCGGAAGCAAATATACAATTTAATTTCCGGAAAGAATATCTCTAACCTATAATATTTCCCTTTCCTTTTTTTCTCTTTATAAAACTAACATTACCTTTTGCAATATAATATTATGCAAGCTATGGAAATCAGAATAACGTCGAATTACATTAGAGGAAGCATTTGCTTTATTAACGCGTACATTATATAAAGCAAATAAATGACGTCCCTTAAAAATAAATAATTAAACAATTTTTTTTTAATTTTTTACCTGATGTCCAACCCCAAGCATTTCAATAAAAACAGATTTTCTTTAAAAAATTTTTTTAATTTTTTTAAAATTAAATTTTTTCTTACTCTTCTGAAGTGCTCGGAGACAAAGAATTTTTCTTTTTATTAATTGACAATATTTTTTTATTAAAAGATTTTTTCTTTTTAATTTTTTCCTCCTTTTCAACATCCCCTTCACCCTCCTCCTCCTCATTTAATAATAAATATTTTTTATTTAAATTTATTTTTTCTTCAATTATTTCTTCATTAACAATTTCCTCTTCCTCCTCTTCTTCAGGTATATTATTTCCGATACCCATTTCTTCAAGCATTTTTGTATATAATAAATGTTTTTTGAATGAAGGAAAGAAACGAGTTTCTGTTTGTAAAATGTTAATCAACTGAAAAAAATTTTTTTTTATTTTTTTTAAACTTTTTCAAAAATTTATTTCAAACCTTTTCTTCAATCTGTTCAAACCAAAAATCGGATTGGGCTTCATTAGATCGAAGACGTGCCAAAAATTTATTAATTATAGAATCTGATAATGGAACTCTAGTTATTGCTTCTTGTGAGAGGTATTGATGATACATAAACAGGGCAGCCTCTCTTAAAGTTTCTAATGTGTCTACATCCAAATAATATTGTTGGGTGCTTCGAAGTTGGTGTTCCATTGAACTTTTAAATCCCTTAAAATTTTTTAAATTAAAATTTTTTATAAAAAAATCACCTGAATAGCCAAATAAAAGTCAATATGATTCTGTCCCCCAGCTTGATTTAAAAATTCAATAAAATGGGAAAGACAAGTTGGATTGGCCAAAACAACATCTAAAGGTAAATGTATAGTTCCATCACTATCGCTAGCTAAAGAAATTGCCTCTTCTGCAAATTCAAAATTTCCATTTGCAAAATCTTTTTTTAGAGAAGCCTAGAAAATTAAAAAAAAATATTTATTTATTTTCACTAAAAACCTTCCCATTTTCTTCAATTTTTCTTTCAAATTTTATATTTTTTATAAAAACTTTATTTGCTTCAAATTTTACTTTCTTCCAATTTAATCTTTTATTTTTTATTTTATTTAAATGTTTATTGCTATTTTTTGTTTTATTTGAAGCAGTCTTTTATTAGAATTAAAGTTTTATTAATTTATTTTAAGGAAAAACAACAAAACAAAAACAAGTTTAAAAACACAAAAACAGACAGAATAAGTAAACTTGGAAACATGTTAAAATGCTCAAAACATTGAAATAAAACATAAAAACAAACAAAAACACAAAAACATTGAAATAAAAAACATTCAAAACACAAAAATATTAGCACAACAATTGCAAACAAACATGTTTGTTTCCAAGTGTATTTAAATAAACATGTTTTTCCTAACTTAATTATAAAAACAAAAAGGGAGGGAAATGTTGTGTTTGTTTTAATTATTTTATTTTTGTTTTAATATAAATGTTTTTACCATTTGTTTAAAATGTTGAGCCTTTCCATCATCTTCTGTTGTTTCTGTTCTATTTACTAAAAATATCATTCGACGACGAATTAATTTTTCTGTAAATTCTAAGCTTGAAAGTTGATCTGAGAATGTGTTTCCTGTAAAAATTAATTTTTAAAATTAAATTTTAATTTTCTTAAAGTCTAATCTCAAAAGACTAAAGTTTTTTCAGACACAAATTGCATCCTCCAAAAAATTACAAAAGCCCGAGGGAAATTTGTTTATTCGGGATTAATAAAGATGAGAATGAAAAAATGAGATCAGAATTGTTCAGTTTTTGGAAAATCCTAAAAGACAAAAAGGTCCAAAAACAGTAGTCTATTTCTCTGAATTTTTTGCTTGAAATCCAGAAAATGATTTAACCCAAAGGAATAGGTCGGGAATGTGGTTCGAACCGAAGTCAAGAATCCGAGGAGAACAAATAAAACTAGAAACGAATCAATAGACATCAGATCAGGAGAAGGTTCCAAAAACCCGTCTTCCCCCCCCCCCCCATCCCTCTCCCCAACCCCATACTTACCATTATTTTCCCCACTTCCAGCTCCCTTAGATTTTAAAGTACAAATTTCTTCGTGTACAGATTCCAAAATAGATTCCAATTCTTGTACGCAATTACATCTTTCCAAACAACCAACAAAATCATCAGTACTTAAAGGTAATTCACTTAAAAACCAAACAATCATTCGATTAACAAAAAAAGGTTCTGACAAACAATCAATTAAAGGAATGAATATTTTTGTGACAAAAATTTCTCGAAGTAAAAAACGTAAAGGGCGACAACGAAAATCTTCCGAAGGCATTAATAAATAAAGTAAAATGTCGCTAATATCGTGTAAATATGCTGAAAAATGAAATGAAAGAAAAAATTAAAAAAAAAAGGGGGGGGGGGGGAGGTCACAAAAAAGTTTTTTGTTAATACTTTGTAATGTTGTGTGACCTATAGGTGATTTTTTGGCCAGACCGATTTCGACAAAGGATGTCGTTTGAAAAAGATAAATCTCTAGTTAAGATACAATTTTCAGCCCCAAAAAGTATATCCATAAGGTCAAATTCAGGGAAGGACCGGATAACCCGAAACCCTAACCCCTCTTATTTCCGTAAAATAGCACTATATCAACAATTAGAAATAAAATATTTTTACCACTTTCATAAGCCGGCGAAGTCGAAACTAAATCCCTACAATAACTTTGTTCCATTTCCAATTCCAAATCAAAAAATAAAGATTCCAAATCATCACTTAAAGGTGCTATTTCCTTCACAGATTCTTCATTTAAAAATTGTAAACGTTCACTAGCTTTGCGATAAAGACGTAAATGTGAAGCAAAATCATCAACAAAATGTCTAGTTAAAAGAGGTACCCAATCAACTTTGCCAAGGCTGGAAAAAATTAAAAAAAGATTTTTTAAAACAAAAATTGCTAAACAAAGAGAATGCGAGTAACCTTACATTTTTTTGCCAATTTTCGACTTTTTTTGGCATTTTTTCCCTTCGTTTATTAAATTACTTCTGGCGCAACTATCTCCAAGCACCTTTCCCCTCCAAGGATAAAAGAACAATAAAGAATGTTTATAGTATATTTTGAAGATATTTAGCTTTCAGAGAGATCAATTCTTGGTTGGACATTAAAGTGATAGAAGCTGTGCCTAAACGATACTTCAAATAGGGGGAGTATCTGATTGAGAAAAAAGTCGGGCCGGGTTTCAAATTGAAAAAAGCCCGAGTTTTGGGAAACTCGATTTGAGTTTTAGAATTTTTTCATAGCTCCAAGTATGTACTCAACCTAAATCTCGTTGATTCAAATAATTTGAAATAAAAAATTAGTAGAAAAAATCAAAGGTAACAGTTTATTCCAAAAATGGATACAAAATAAAAAAATCAAAATAGTCTGATTAGAATTATGATGAAAATATTGTGTATTAGGTACATATTTACTTTAATAATTTCCCCCTTATTTAATCCACAAAAATCCTCTCTCTTTTTATTTCTTTTATATCCCTCCTTGTATAAATTCTATAGGAGGTTGTTTTGAGCCTTTTTTCTCACAATCAGATTCACTTTTATTTTCAGGGTTATTATTAGGAAGAGGACGAGGTGGTTTTGTGTGATGTAGTAGTCGATCCCAGCTTACAGTACTAGCATTTTTGTCAACATTTAATTGCTGAAAAGTTTTTATTTCTAAAAATTTTGAAAAGTATAGAAATTTCGGTAGGGACCGATTAGCCATCCAAATGTTATAGGAAAAAAATTTAATTCAGAAAAAATGGGGGGGGGGGGAATCTCTGATAATAAAAAAAGCTTCAATTAACGTTCACCACTAAATCCCATTCAAAAAATTAATTTTATTTAAAAGTTTACCCATTGAGCATCGACTAATTTATTTTCTTTTTTCAGAATTAGTTGAAGAAGAAGAATAACAAAAATTAATTTGGCAAACATTTTTTTAATTATTATTTTATTGGATTTTTGAATTAAATATTAATAATGAATAGTTCCCACCACTAGTTATTTTATATTGGGAGGATTTTTACAGATTGACAAATAAAAAAATTTTTTTTCTCTCTAAAGAATTGCTTTAGCCATGTAACCGGAATTCGTTGGAATTTTTAATAAAAATATAAAAGTCATAAGATAAATTTTTAAAAATTAACTTTAGTTGCCCTCTCATTCAATATTCCTTTTTTAGTTTATAAAATCCACGTTGAAGAGAGGGAAAAAAATTTTTTTTTTAATTTTAAGTTTAAATTGGATTTATTTTAAAAAGTTTAGTCAAAGGTTTGATAGATAAAAAAAACTCTTGGTACTAGCTAAAAAACGTGGTGAGTCAACAAAAATAATTTACATTAGAAGATCACGTGGACACCATTAGAGAGGTATAGATAAAATAAAAATTTTGATGTAAAAAACAAAAGAAAAAAAATAAATAATAAATAAAATTGTAAAAAATAAAAGAAGATAAAAATGATCTTTTGAAGAATTAAAAAGGGATAAACTGTCACCTCACATAAATAACAAATTTTAAGATTAAATTGACGAGTAAATTTGGAAATTATTTAATAAATTTATATATTTAAATTAAACCTAAATATTTAAAAATGAGTTCAAAATACTTTTAAATTGGCTTACAATTTAAATAAAAGATGGGGTAAATGTATAAGGATCGCTCTCTGTAAGCAAAATATCAACAAGAAATATGAACAAAAAAAATTTTATTGGTCAAAAATTTTAAAAATTCTTAAATTTTCTGAGAGGAAAAATCATTAAAAAATCATAATCCAAATTTTCGGTAAAGAATTAAAAAAAAGTCGAAAAAGGAAGCAAGGTGATACCCTCAAAACTCAAACAGAAGTCTCGAACCCTTCAGATTCCCCATCACAAAAACCCAACAACACCTTACTCAACCTTAAAAATAACCCACCAAATACTCTTACATTATTTTCTAAAAAATAAACCAACCACGTTCTCAAAGCAATAATCGTCCTTCTCGCCGTTCTCTTCAATGATTCTCTAAATAATTTGTCAGATGTCAATTGTGTATTGTACCAAGAATCAATATAATCCCTCATAACGTTATCGAGCATCTGTTTCTTGGTTAAAAAAATTATTTTGTCAAAAAAAACCTGTTCAAGTAGAGGATCCAAAACTTCAGAATTTGTCATGCTATGTCTGTCAGAATAAACAGAAGAATCAGAGAAGCGATTACTTTGTTCAATTGCAAAGGGCAAACCACGAAGAAAGCGAAATGAATTAAAAGCTTGTTCAAATTGATTTTTCATTGTTTCACGGCGTTCATAACCATCACGAATTAGACAGAAGAAAAGACTAGAAAATTAAAAAAATGAGCAAAATGAATTTTGAAAAAATAAATTTTTAAACTTAAAATCCGCAAACATAAATTTTTGTCCGCAAATTTAAAATCACTTAAAAGGCCGCTTTCAACACCTTCCAATCCCCTTTCTAATTCTACGAAAATGATAAATAACATCAAAGTCTCAATTATTCTAGGCTGTACTTTAGCCGGTGGCCCACTCAGAAACGGGACAAATTATATACCATTCGATTCGTCTCGGCGAGCTGAGTCGAATGGTACCATTCTTTTTTTGCGGAAATTCCTACGAGCCGAGATATAGGTCCTTAAAATCCGAAAAACCATAGGGGGGAGTAAGCACAATTTTGGGGTGAAAAATTCAAATATGCAAATGATAGCTCATTCGAAAGAGCTCCTCGAGCTGAGTCGAATGACACCAAAATCAGCGAAATCCGACTTGATTTGACAAAGTTATGATCATTTGTTTTAGCTCCTTACCTTTGGTCTACGTGCAGGTTTTTGTTGCTGGGGAAGAAGCCAGACATGCCGACCAGCTAAAATAGGCATAGGTTTTTGTTACGAGCCCAGACCCAGCACCCGTAGACTCCCCGCGAGGCGCGTGCCGCAAAACCCCGCGCGAAGCGCGGGGTTTTGCACAAGCGCCTTGCCGACACCCCATAGGTTTATGTTGATTGTTTTTTGTGTTGTAACTTTGTCTAAACTTACTCAATCACGGTAATTTTGGTGTCATTCGACTCAGCACTTCGAGCTCTTTCGAATGAGCTATTATATGTGTAAAAAATTTTTAATTCCAAAAATCGTCCATTTTGATCTTCGGTTTTTAGGGGCCTATATCTCGGTCAAATCAAGTCGGATTTCGCTGATTTTGGTGTCATTCGACTCAGCTCGAGGAGCTCTTTCGAATGAGCTATCATTTAAAAAATCGAATTTTTCACCCCAAAATTGTGTTACTCCCCCCTATGGTTTTTCGGTTTTCAAGGACCTATATCTCGGCTCGTAGGAATTTCCGCAAAAAAAGAATGGTACCATTCGACTCAGCTCGCCGAGACAAATCGAATGGTATATAATTTGTCCCGTTTCTGAGTGGGCCACCGGCTAAAGTATATCCTTATTCTACATTTTATTTCTTGTAAAATACTCTAAAAATATTGTGCGCAAAAATAATTTTGCCCGCAAACCCAGACAACCCTAAAACCTTCAAGCTGCCCTTCCCCCATAACTTTCCCTAATCAATTAAAAATAAAACAAACCCAACAACAAAAGCAAGTAAAACAAGTAAAAGAGCAAAAATAGCCTTCAATCCAAGAGTAGCTAGCAAGAAGACAACAATAATGCCAAAATAGTGAATCGGTTGCAATCTGTCCATTACAAAATCTTTTTTTTTTGTAAATTAATTTTTATAAAAGAAAAAGAATAAAAATAATATTCTTCTTTTTAACATGTAAATTTAAATCTAAAAAAAAATTTTTAATTAAAAAACGCCTAAACAATTTTGAAAAACAAAATTAGCATTTAAAAATATAATTAAAAAAAAGTTTAAAACAATTTTTAAAAAAGTTCAATATAAAATTTAAATTTTTTAAGATTTTTATATTAAAAAAAAATAAAACTGACAGAAGAGAACAAAAATTTTTTTCTAACAATATTATTTTGGGGATAGGAAAATTCTTTTGCTGATCAACATTTACGGATATCCGGTAAACTCTTTCTATAGGTATATCCTGTAACTTCCTTCTAATTCTTAACCAAATATACCGTTTTAAGTTTTATAAATTTGCCCGCAAATGTATCCGCAAAAATTTTTCACATTAAACAAGATAAAGTCGAACCTTGTTTCTAGATAATTGAGGTGTATCTTAAATTGAGGGTAAACAGTTCCCAAATACACAATGGTAAATGGTCTGTATTGAGTGAATCTAAAAATGAGGTTCAAGTTTTGTGAATAAAATCGAGAATTTCTTTCAAAATATTTTTTTGAATTTGAGAGTAATTAAAGTTGCCCGTTAAAAGAAAAAAAAGTCAGTTTGTTTATCTATCCTCCTTACTTTTCCTCGAATATTTGGGAGAACGAGAACGACTAGATGATGATGAGTATGAACGGTGACGAGAAGAGCGGTGATGATGTTTTCGATGACGACTTTAATAAAAAAGATCTTTAATAAAAAAAATATTATTTTTAAACGAGTTTTATTTCTCAATTTTCCCTCAAAAAATTTCAAAAAAATTCGCAAAAAATGCGGATAAAAATTTTAAATCCGCAAATTTTTGTCCGCAAGTTTTTATTCTAAAATTCTCCAAATTTTATAAAATTCCCAAAAAAAAGCTAAATATATACCTTTCTCTACGCCGTTTATGTTTGCGTCGTTTCCTTTCTTTTTCTTCCTCAGAATTTGACCCGTCATTAGAATGTTTTGAGGATAATGAGGGTGTTGTTGATCTCTCCCTTCTTTTCTTTCTTTTTCGCTTTTCCTTATGTTTTTCTTTTTTATTACGTTTTGGGATATCTTCATAATCATCTCGAGGAGAATTATCGGCATAATCGCTTCCTGTTCTTCTAAAAAATTAAAAAAATGTAATAAAGGAATCCCTCGAAAACCGAAGGAGATTTTTACTATTTTATAAAACGTAAAATATAGTAATATCTCGTGGCGCTAAAGGAAAAATTTCCAAAGAGAAAAAAATTACACAATTAATAGCTTCAGGAACTTGAAAATGATTTTTATAAAAAAGTTAAAGTCAAATCCTAGGTTCGTTAAATTAATTCGCATTTAAAGACACAACCTAATTTTTGAAAATAAACGATTACTGGCTAATAACGACTAGCAACAACATTCCTTAAGCTTAAAGGATTCGAAAAGCTAATTTTTATAATAAAAAATCAGAACTGTCCAAAAATATCTGTTATCGAATATTAAACATTTTTTCAAATTAAAGTTTTAAAAGATTAACTATATCCAAAATAACCTTGTTGGAGTAGAAGAAGCCTCTCCTCCAAAAGTTTTTTTAATATGCATATCAATCATTGAAGTTATTGTTTTTGATAGATTAAATGGTGAAATTGTTGTTGCTGTTTTATTTTCTTCTTCCTCATTTTCATTTTTTGTTGTATCAGAAAGTACTATTGGGGATGAAATAATTCCTGGTGGTTCTACTGGCAATTTATTCCCTAAAAATAAAAATTTTTTTCCAAGTTAGAGAATTTTCAAGTTCCAAGAATTTGCAAAGAAATGATTTATTAAAAAAATATTTTACCGTCTTTTAAACGTTTTTTTCCAAAATGTTTTTCTGCCATTCTTTCGTTTAAGATTCTCTCCATAAAGAGGCGAGCTTTTTCACGACGTTCTAATTGTTTTTTATCTAAAAATATTTAAATATTATAATCAAAAGATATTTCGTCTTTTGTTAAAAATATAGAAAAATTTCTAAAGTCAATTTTCCGGTAGTGATGGGTAGCAAAGGCGTAGCCATGGGGGCTGAGGGGGTTCTTTCATTATTTAAAAATATTAAAAAAACCTCCGTCTGTTCCATCCTCTTCTTTATAACCATTATTTTTTGTAGTATTTCCAACAGGTAATTCTGTAGGTATTGGATCTGTTGAAGATGCTGCTTTAATTATTTGTTTAATTAATAATTGTTGAGACATTGGAGTATTTGTTTTTGTTGAAGCTGAAGGTGTTAATTGAGAATTTTTATTTAATTTATTTTGGAATTGCTGTTGTTGTTGATATATTTGCCATTGAAGTTGGCGTACTTTAGATTGATAAAATGTATAATAAGGACTTCTAGCTGACAGAAAATGGACTTTGTCTCCATTGTGTTCTAAAAAAATAATATTTTTTAGAAATTAAAAAATGTTTTCGATCTTTATATTCTTAAAAGTTCGCAAGTTAATTTAATCATAAAACCGCATCTAGCCATAAAACTCGGGATTAAAAAATTTGTTTGCGTTTTGGAACAAAAATTAACATAACAGGAAAACATGACTTTACTGTAACTGCAAATTTAGTATATTTTTTGGTACAATTCGAATCTTAAATTAAAATGCATCTAATATTGAATGAAAATCTTTTAGTAAAATACGACTTAAAGAACACGGATAAAACTTGAGAACATTTTTTAGACTAAAGAAACAAAAAAAATTTTATTAAAAATAAACCTATCAATTTTTGTTCAGCAGCCGCTCCTTGAAACGCTACATATTTAGCAGCAACAGCTATTCCAGATTCGACAACAGAATCAGTTGCAGGGGTAAGAGGAAAAGGTGGAGGTCCAGGCAAATAAGGACTCTGACGTCCATAAAATTCCAAATGCCACAAATTATAATCTAAAAATTTAAAAAAATATTTTATTGAAACATTTTAAATTAAAGGCAAAAGAAACTGGAAGGACAAAGAAAATTCCTTCGGTCAAGACAAGCCATATCCGAAAATATCCTTCCTGGAAATTCCATGAAATACCCCGTTTGAAGTAATTCCGGCCTCCAGGAAGGATATAAATAAGTAAAAATCGTTGTGCGCTGGAATAGGTCCCCTCGACGGGTGCCATCTTCAAAGGAGGGGGTCTTCAATGAACTCTCTTCCCACAATAGGATAATAAAATTTTAAAAGATATACCATTTATTCGATTTTGATCTGTTTCATACAGAATCTCTGGTGGTTGAGGTTTGGAAGGTGGTGGTTGTTCTTCTACTACGGCTACAACTTTCTTCTCTTCTTTTTCTTCTTTCTTCTCAATTTCATTGCTTTTATTCAACTCTTCATTTTCTTTAGATTGCCCAGGAATTAAAGAATGCAAACTTTTCATTAATGAAGAATATAAAGATGAGGATGAACTTTGCTGAAAGGAAATTTTTTAGAAGATTTTTTGGCGTAGTGAGATGTATAAAATAAAAGTCCAAAATTTAAAATACTTACATCATCAGAACGATGAAATTTTTGAATAAGCACATCCAAATCACTATTTAACGAATCAGCAGCCTTTTTAGCTTGTTGTTTTGGTTTTTGTGATGGTCCAATAAATCCAGATTCTGAAGGAGTGTCTGATTTTGTTGTCGTTGTTTTTTTATTAGCATCGCCACACAAAAGTGGATGTAAATAACCACCATCTGAATCGGAGTTTGAATCATCACTTTCGGAAGAAATTGATTCTGGTTCTAAAATTTAAAAATAATAGAGGGTTTAAGATTCTAATAAATGAAGAGAGTGTGTGGGTTCGAACTCACTCATTGTCAGGGTAAAGTATTTATTAATTTCTAAAATAACTAATTGTAAGAAAGCTGATAAAAATTTAGTAGTCTAACTTTGAAGTCGATTTAATTGAAAAAAAAGTTAGTTAAAAAATCATGGAAAGGATATAATAGTAAGGGAACGGTGTAGATTCGAACCTTACCAGCGAAATTTTAATTTTTAAACATAAAACTAACAGGTTGTCCAAATTTATTAAATGATTTTAAATAATTAAATTGTTTTGTTAAGTTCTCATCTAAAACTTTAAAAAAGAAACCTTTCTTCGTCTTCGTTGGTTGCCTCAATTCAGGCACATATTTTTTCTCTCGAATTTGTTTACACAAATATTTATAAAAAGGATGTAAACGATGATCAAAATCCAAAAAACCAAATTGCTCTGCTTTGTGACGCTGTTTGGCTTTAATTACAACTTCCATTTGAGGACCTTTCTCGACTACAAAGAGGGCAGTACGCTCAATTAATAAATTTTGACGGACAGAATCGGGCTAAAAAACAAAAAATAAATATTAAATGAAATCAAATAATCATTAAAAAACCGTTGCAATTCCAACAGGAAGTTTCAAAGAAATTGGTTTTACATAAGGCTCATCTTCTTCTTCTTCTTCCTCATCTACAGCAGGTGAAGGCTGTTGTTGATCGTAACGATATCCTATTTCGGCACGTTTACGATTTTTGTTTTCTTCATCTGTAAAAATTAGAAGAATTTTATGACATCCGGAAATTGCTGTTAGTTTGGGATTGACCTTCTAATTTTAATAGATAATAACCCCCATCTAATTTCCCTTCCTTCCTACCCCTGAGAGGAAAAACTGACTTTAAATAAAAAATTCCCAAACCTAGCTCTTTTTGTCTTATATCAGCATACAAATCAGCATATCGTTGTTCATCACAAAGCTCCTCTTCAAGTTGTTCAGCAGAATTATCGTCATTACCCTCTTCATCTCCTTTCCTTTCCACATTTTTTATTTCTTTATCAAATTCATCGAGAGATGTTAAATAAAGGCGAACATCGTATCTGAAAAATCAAATTTTGTGAAAATAAACAAAAATTAGTTAAAAACAATTTTATTTGAAAATTTTTGTTTTCCCACACCAATGTGTAAATTGAACTTACGCATGAAGATTATAAACTTCCAAAGTATCACAACAAATTTTTAGAAAACCAAAGAGAACTATCGAGATTGGAAAACACTGAAAAAGAATAAAAATAAATTAAAATAACCAATAAATTTAAAAAAAACAACTCAAAACTTGGAGACATACAATGAACATTTGTGAAGAAGACAGGTAACTTTTTTTAATACAATTAAATTTAGTAAACTAGAAAGAACAAAAATCTAAAAGATTTTTGTTCGTGATTGACGCAAATTGATTCTTGGAATCTCTTCCGCAAAAAAGGAAATGATTCTGTCTATTTAAAAATCAGACTAGATCCCCCACAGATCTAACAAGGAAAGGTTGCGAGGTGTCCGACCTAAAAACGGTAGAGACACGGCTCATTCGATAGAGAATCAAGTCGTCAAAATAGGAGTTGAGTCTGTTGCCCTGCGCCAAAAAAAGACAATTTTATTAGGGCCTTCAATAAATAAAAACCTAAACAATAAACAGACTAAAAGCTATTAAATGTTTTAGAAAATACAAAATAGAAAAAAAAATAAAAAAAATCACCTGAAAAAAGTGAAGAAATTCCTCTTCCTCCCTCTCGTCAAATCAATCAAACAATTTTAAATAAACACAACTTTTTTGACTATTTCCCAACTAACCTATCAATTTTTAATTCTTCATCTCCATTCCAAGGGATCAAATGTTTGTTTTCATCAAAAGCTACAGACGAGGAAGTTGATTGAAAATCATCTCCAACAGAAAAAATATTTTCAGTTTTGTGAAGTTTGGAAGAATATCCAAAAACAATTAAAGAATTTTCATCCTCTTCGTTGGAATTGTGATGACGTTTACGCTGTAAAAAGAAAAAAATTTTGTTAATTAAATTTAAAAAAATTACAAATTTGTTCCGAATTTTGGCATGATGTGAAGACATGTTGAAGATTAAAGTTGAGACAAATTTTTATTTTTTGTAACTGAAAAATCAAAAAAGAATAAAATTAATTAAATATACACAAAAAATTAAAAAAAAACCTTAAAAAACTGGAAATTTAATCAAACAAAAAAGACAATGTAAAAGTAAGAGAGACGAGCGAATAAAGGAAAAAATGGTTCCAAAACAAAAGGTCGATTCTTTAAAATATCGACATGCCACAATGGGTTTAAAACCTCGATTTGGTTTTTGTGTGGAAAAATCCGTGTCTGATAATTTCGACAGTGACTAAATTCGACAGTGATTAAATTCGACAGTGAAATTCGCCAGTGACTAAACTCGACGGTGACTAAATTCGACAATGAACTATTTTTTCTTTTTTCACCGTTTTCCTCGATTTTCGTCAGTGATTAATTTCGACAGCGACTAAATTCGACAGTAAAGACTAATTTTTAAAAAGTATGGAGAATTAGAGAAAAAAGCGAGGAATTTTCGTTAAAGGCAGATTCAAAGTCGCCGATTCTGCATCTCATGTTGCTGCGGAACGGCCAGCTGAGCGCCGTTAACTGAGTGCCACTCATCTTTAATCGCTATAACTTTTTAAGCCTTAGTCAAATCCGAGTAAATCATATATGATTAGAAAGCCCTCGATAAGCGGTATCTTTTTTCCAACTGAATGGATCAAATCTGATCAATCATTAAAAAATTATAACGCGATAAATGTAAAAAATGCCAAATAATTGCACGTATCGGTTCGTAATTTTTAATGAGTGATCAGGCTTGATCTTTCTAGTTGAAAAAATGATAGCGCCTATTGAGATCTTTCTAAATTACTGAAAAATTTTTAGTTTTTTCTCTAATTCTCCATACTTTTTAAAAATTAGGCTTTACTGTCGAATTTAGTCGCTGTCAAAATTAATCACTGACGAAAATCGAGGAAAACGGTGAAAAAAGAAAAAATAGTTCATTGTCGAATTTAGTCACCGTCGAGTTTAGTCACTGGCGAATTTCACTGTCGAATTTAATCACTGTCGAATTTAGTCACTGTCGAAATTATATAGCACCGAAAAATCTCGGTCTTTTTCCAGTTTTTTTTTGTCAAGACTGGATTTAAAAAATATTGTCAGATAATAAAATGATTAAACAAATAAAACAAAATAAAAAATGAGCAAAAAAATTTTATCAAAAAAAAACAAATTTAACAAAAAAATTCTTTTAAAATATTTTTCTTCTATCTAACATTATCTGACAACGGCCCATCAACCCCTTTATAATAATTATCAAGTATTTCATTTGTTGGTTCAAAAACTTTTTTATCTTCTAAACTAATTAATTGTCCAGGTTGCAAACCCAAAAATACTTGATTTGGAGTTTTGTCTTCAATAATATATTTTTGTTGATCTTCTTCTTTATTTAAATTATATTCGAGTATTTCTGATAATTTAATTTTTGATTTTTCAATTTCTTCTGGATTGGCTAAATAACTTTAAAAAAATATTTTTATTTTTTCTTTTTAATTGAAAAATTTTTTTTAATTATAAATTTTAAAAAATACAAAGAAGAGCTAGTCACTATACCAAACCCCCCTCCCCCAAAAAAATTAAAAAAAGCAAACCCTCTATAATCAGGATCACTATAATAAGCATATAACGAATGTGGTGGGTGCATTCGCCTCGGAATTGGTTTACCAGCACGAAACCAAGCCTCAGGGTTTTCTGCAGCCTTCAAACTTTCCAAATCGTAATAAGCTGTTCTTATACGTCCACCAGCCCTTTCAATAGCCGCAATTGCTGTGAGTGATGCCCATTGAACTTCCAAATTTATTGGAGTAGAAAATACTTCTTCTCCCTGAAAATTTTATAGAAATAGTAATTTTTTGAATTTAAAGGAAAAAATATTTTTGAGAAATGGTAGGATTATAATGAGAAAAATAATGAAGAAAAATCTAAAAAATTTTTGCGAGTTAATTCTGCAAATCAAAAAATGTTATCACTCCTCTCGCTTCCCACTTTAGAATAAATATTTTACTGATCATTTTGCATCTTTAACCATTTTTAGTTTTCAAAAAAGAAAAATAAGACAGAATAATACATTGAGGAGATCCCTCAAAATCAACGGGTTGATCCATCTAAAATAGCCCAATCTTCCCAAAAAAACTAAAAGAAAACCTCGTCAGTTAAATCAATTCCAAATTGCCTCAATTCACTCGGAACAAATTTTTCATCGAATAACCGAGTTGCACAAAGAGCACAAACATCAATAAGTCTGGTTGTATCTAACCATCCCAAATCAATAATTCGTTGAAGTTCAATTAAAGAGAGTGGAATATATTCGCGACGAAGGCTAAAAATTAATTTTTATAAAATTAAAAATATTTCTGAAAGGAATTTTGACATAAGCTAGCTATGAAAGTAAAGATAAAAACAAAAAAGTGGTTAATATATCATTCCAAATAAATACAATAATGATATCCGGTGATGGGATTCGAACCCGAAGCAAGTAAAGCTTAAGCACTAAAAGTTTCCCACTTAACCAAGCTGACAATCAAACAAAAGAAAATACATAAAGTTAACATAACACTCAAAAAACTTCCCAAAACTCCAAGAAAAACAAACAAAACACAAACTTAATATCCCCATTAAATTGTTTATCTCCAGGAAACATTCTGTGCCACGGTCTAAAAAAGTCCCCCCAAACCCATCCTGCTGGGGGTTTTGCTGCGTGTTGTAACTCTCCAATTGTATGTCCAGCTTGATTGTGAGCTTGAGCATTTACTTGTCTTCCCTTTGAAAAAAAGATTTTTCCCAATTAAAAAAATAAAACCTCAGTTCTAGCCCCCGGATTGTCTCTCAAATTATTTAATCGAATTCTTGGTGCTGCTTCAATAATATCCAAAGCTTTTTCTGATGCAGATTTAACTGCTTTGTGTAATTGTGTTTTTACAACTGCGTGACGCATTTAACAAAAAATTTCACTAAAATTTATAACAAAAAAATTAAAGAATAACTTCAAGACTCAATGTTATAAAAATAAATTTCTGGTAAAAGTCGACAACCACCGGTGGAGGCGTTGTCAGATTCCTTCTATTTTTCCCTTTTATTTAAGTTCTCTTAAATCCAAACAAATCTTGTAAATCGAAAATTTAATCTCTAACATTTTTAATTCATCTCCAGGTTTGCAACTAGAGTCTCGGTATTAACTAATATTTTTATAACTGAAGGAAGTGAAAAAAATAATAGAGGGGAAAAATAAACAAGAGGGAGAATATACTAAAATTTTACACCCCATCAAAAATTTTTAGCAATAAAAGGCAACATAAATATGAGAGAAAGAAAAGATGCATAAAGATGCCATTTCTCAGACGCCGGTTCCCGCACTTCGAGATGGCACTATTGAAGTGTTAGGTTGTATGAGTTTGTTGAAAGGCGTTGTTTCTATTTTTTCCAACTAAAATTTAGTCTCTAATGTCAAAGGGAAAAATTTAAGAAAGAATAAGTATCTACTACCACTAGCTGTCAATTACACCCTATCTATAGTTTTTAAAAATAAAAAAGAACATAAAATATAAGAGAGAGAAAATCCAAACTTATTGGACGTCATTTCGCAGCGCCGTTTCCCTCCCCGCCGTCCGCAAGCCCACTTGGGCCAGCGTCGGTACCACTCAGGGGAATAGGTTGTATTCGGTTGGAGTTTGATGAAAAGCGTCTAATTTTTGTTTGACTTCCCACATAAGACTAGCCCCTTTTGGACAAAAATTACCTAACTTCCTTGGCAAGCGTCCATCTAACCCCAAACCGAAAAGATACCCAGGAAATTCCATTCTAAATAATCTTTATGCAAAACAGAAAAAAAAACAAAAAAAATTGTTAAATAGCAATATTAGAGTCAGATTTATTACTTTTCTTTTTCAAAACTTTTTCTGGCTCCCATACAAAATACCGAATTCTTAAAATATGGAATCTCAAAATCGCGAATCGGCTAAAAAAGCTCAAAATATGGAATCTCAAAATATCGAATCTCAAAATATGGAATAGGCAAAAAAAGCTCAAAATATCGAAAAATATCGACAATGCGGCAAAGGCCAGTTGAGTCTGAACAAAGTTGTGACCAACTTCTTCGTAAAAAAATTTTAAAAATAAGAGAAAGTATTTTTCTAAGGTAAAAAAATGTGCTGATTACGAATCTCAGCTCGGATTTTGAAAAAGTCGAATCCCGGACCCGAACCGAATTTCGAATCCCGAACCGAATTTCGAGTTTCCGAATGATAGCTCATCTGAAAGAGCACGTCGAGCTGCATCGAATGATACCAAAATCAATGAAATCCGACCTGATTGGACTGAGTTACAGATCCCTGAATAATCAGAAAAAGACCTGCAGCGGCACTCAAACGGCCCTTTTCGTTTTTAAAAAATTCGACATTTTTAACTACTTTTTAGCCGATTCGGTATTTTGAGCTTTTTTGGCCGATTCGCGATTTTGAGATTCGATATTTTAAGATTCCATATTTTGAGCTTTTTTGGCCGATTCCATATTTTGAGATATTTTTACCGATTCGCGATTTTGAGCTTTTTTAGCCTATTCGCGATTTTGAGAATTCGGTATTTTGTGCGGGCACGCTTTTTCTTGTTCAATCTCTTCTTCTTCAACTTCCTCGTCTTCCTCCTCTTCTTCTCTTTCAAAATTTGCTACTCTTTTTCTTGTAATTTCTATATTTTTATCTTTTTTCTTTTGTTGTTCAACAGAGTTTTGTTGCTTTTGTTGTTGTTGCTGGGGCTGTTTCTGTTGTGGCTGTGGTGGCGGCCTTTTTCTCAAATTTTCAAAAATTAACATTTTATTTTTTATTGGTTTTAAACTTTCTTTATTTTTATAAATTGAATGAATTCTAATCATTCTAGATATTAATTCTCCACTTTTAAATTGAAATGATAAGGAAGAAGCTAATGGAGCTAATTGACGTGAAATTTGTTCAGCCCCAGTTAATGTTGCATTTGTGGCAAATGATTTTTTTGCTAAACGAGCAATTGATGGATATATCTAAAATTATATGGGGGAATTTCAAAAAAAATTTTTTGTATATTAACAAAAACTTATATTAAATTACTACTAATTCCAAACCCCGCAAGCAGGTTCTCAGAAAAATTAGTCCTGATAATTTTGAACTTTGAATCATCCCTTTTTATTTTCTCCCCAAATATGTGGAAATAAGTACCGGGCTCTTCGAGGTAGAGCCTAAGGTTCGGTACTGTTCGCGTACTGTTTACTTATTTTTATATCTGGGTGATATTCCAAGGAGATAATGCGGTAGAAAAAAATTAAAAACAGCAGCAAACCTCTTCATAAACATTCCAAAATTCCAACGGATTATATTTTTTCGGATCTCTTTTAATCCCCGCAACACCATTAATTTCAAGTGTTTCGAAAATTTCTTCAATCGTTAATTGTTCATAATGTTGTGCTTCTTCTGTGTAACTTAACCAAGGAGAAGAGGAAGAATTATTTTGTTGTTGTCCATTTTTATTATTATTTTCTGTCACACCATCTAATGATATTGATGTTTGGGAGGTTGGTAAATTTGAATTTTCTAATAAATGTTCCAATTCAACCAAAACAACACTCTTGACCTTTAAAAATTTTTAATTTTGCGGATTAAATTTGCGGGCATTTTTAATACAAAAATAATGTCCGCAAATTTTATCCTCAAAAATATAAATGCACTCTGAAATTCGGATTTTGTTTACAAATAATTTTTGATAAATAGAGCATCATGGGATCAAAATGAAATATGGGCCAACATTTTGGCCTCTAAACCAAGGACATATTTAGGGGCTGTGTGTTTGATGACTTTTGTGACTTTTGATTTGCCATGGTCTAACTAATACCATTAAAATCAATCAAAAAATTGAGCAGATATAAATTTTTCAATCATTATTTTTTTAATTTTTGGGTTTTAAAATATTTTCAACCACAAAATAATTTTTAATAAAAAAATAAAAAACCTCCTCCATTGTACAAAAATCAGACAAATCTCCAATATGATTTAACCCCATTGGATCACAATAAAGAGCACATAGAGCCATTCTTTTATCAATATAAGTTTTAAAATCTTTTTCCAATTTATTTAAAGCAAAATTAGCCAAAGATTTTAACGTTTCAAAATCACAATTTTTTAAATGCTTTGTAGAATCTTTCAAAACATTTAAACGTTTGTTTAGTCCAAGAAGAATAAATAAAATTAAATTTGAATTTGGAGTTTTGTCTGCTGACTGAAAAATTTTTTTAGTGATTTTTGGTTCTTTTCCTTTATGATTCCAAAAGTCCGCAGGTTTCCAAAATCTTCAGCAAACCGAAATAGACAGATAAACCGAGAATTTTGGATTTCTGAATATAGTACCGGAAAATATTTTCACTTTATAGTCCTATTAAAATAGGCCTCCTAATAAATCTGAAAATAGTTAGACCAATCAAAATAAAACTATCAGGGGTTGCAGGTTCGAAACCTGCCTAAAGGCAAAATTTAAACTTGTGCTTTAAATTATTTAAATGAGCCTAGAAAAATTTTTTTATAAAATTTTACCACAGTTTCCAAATCAACAATAGACATTTCAAAAGCTTCCATAACTCTAACATAACTCCACAAAAATGTAACATTTTTTTCTTCAAAAATATCAGAATGAATTGCACAAAGTGCTCTAATTAAAGAATTTTTTGTTTGATGCAAAACCTTTGAAATATTTTCGATAGAAGAAACCCATCTTCTAGATAATTGAAGCATTAAAAGTAAACGAGAATTTCCATTAATTGATGTATAACGAGGCGAGAGAAGTGAACGAAGGTCTTTATAACGTCTAAAAAATTGTTAAAATTAAAGTTAAAAGATTTTAGGCGTGTTTATAAGGAAAAGAGCTAGAAAGGGAACATTAAAAAAATTTAAATTCTATTTACGAGTAAAAAATTGTTATTGCAACAAAATTTTTTCAGTTTCCTTAGATTCTTTGATTTACCCTCAAAAAATACTAAACCTTGTTTGTTCAGCAAATTCTCTTAAAGAACGAAGCAATTCACGAACTTTAACCAACTTTTTAACGTCAAAATCATTTGATTTAATTGGCAAAGGTTCAGAAAAGAGTCGATCAGCAACAGAATCCAACAATGTTAATAAACAAGGATGGCGCAATCCCTTAAGATAGTTAAAATTAATTTAATTGTCTAAAAAAAGTTGCTGATTTTTATGTATAAAATATGTAATCTCTCATTTTCATTAGAATCCTTTTAGAAATATTTTATCATTTAGGTATGATCTTGTAATACCTAAAGCTTGAAATACCTAAGCTTGAAATACATAAAGCTTGAAATACCTAACATTGTAATACCTAAAAGCTTGAAATACCTAACATTGTAATACCTAAAAGCTTGAAATACCTAACATTGTAATACCTAAAAGCTTGAAATACCTAACATTGTAATACCTAAAAGCTTGAAATACCTAACATTGTAATACCTAAAAGCTTGAAATACCTAACATTGTAATACCTAAAAGCTTGAAATACCTAAACCCCAAAAACGCTTGAAATACCTAATTGTGGAAAAAAGCTTGTAATACATAAGCCCCAAAAATTTTTGAAATACCTAACCTCAGAAAAAAGTTTGAATTACCTAATAAATACCAAGATACAAATTCTTTTGGTTATTTGTCTATGTACACTCCTAACAACAATGAGTTTTATCCCAACAATAGGAGATATGTCCCAATTGAATCTTCGCTGAAAAAAATCGTTCCCGTCATTGGAACGTCATCACCGTTGACGACGGAACAACTTCCCCCGTTGTCTGAACAACATCCCCCGTTCACGGAACAACTTCCCTCGTCACTGAATCAATATCCCCCGCTGTTGGAACAACTTCCCCCATCACTGAGTCAACATCCCCATTGTTGGGTCAACAGTTTGGTATTTCAAGTTCTTACGGGTGTTTGGTATTTCAAGCTTTTTCCAAGGTTAGGTATTTCAAGGGCTTTTGGGGGTTAGGTATTTCAAGCTTTTTTCCACAATTAGGTATTTCAAGCGTTTTAGGGGCTTAGGTATTTCAAGCTTTTTTCTACGTTTAGGTATTTCAATAGTTTTTGGGGTTTAGGTATTTCAAGCTTTAGGTATTATAAGACGTTCCGATCATTTACGGTCGACCACAGAGCCAAGGAGGGAAGGTGACCACTACGTGCCAGTTAACGGCTTTTTTTAATTCCAAAATTTAATTTCTATCCATAGAAAAAAAACTAAAAAGTTCAAAAAAAATTTTTTCAAAAACCTTTTCATTCTCCTCAGCATCGTCGTCTTCATCCTCCATTTGTTCAAATTCAGAGACTATATGAAACTTTTCCAATAAATTTTTTTGTTTTTCCTTTCCTTTGTCAACAAATTGAGTAACAAGTTGTCTCAATGGTTTAATACAAGAATCTCCAGTAATTATTGTATCAGAAATTGGATAGAATTTAATAACCGTTCTTAATAATTCCCTTCAAAATTTAATTTTAAAATTGAAATTTAATCCATCCCTAAGCTATTCAGAAAAACTAAAAATTATGCAAGATCTTGAACCATATCTAGATTTCTCAAAAAAAATTTCTTTTGTCAAGGGCTTCTGTCAAAGGCTTTCTTTCTGATAGGCTATAACTTATGTTAATGAAAAGACAGGTTCTTTTAAGATTCCTGGGGCCTAAGTCAATCCACACTTTTGTGAATTTCAGGCCAGTACATATTTTGTCTTTTGAAAACGATATCTAAAAATGGGAGATGAAAACCGCCAGTTGAGTGCTAGCTGCCTTTGATCGAATATAACTTTTTGCTGCTTGATCTAATCCAAATGAATCTTATAGCACTCGAAAGCCCACAATAAGCATTCGAAAGCCCTCCTTCTTCCAGCTTGATGGATCAAGTCAGATACTTCTTGAAAAGTTATAACTCGATAAGTCCAAGAAACGTTTATCGGGTTCCAATTCCAAATTTTTTACGATTAACTTACTTAGCAACAAATATTTAAAGAAAAAACCATGAATTGCTTATATATGTAACCAACAAAACTTTATAACATCCTCCAGTTGAAGAATCATTTAAATTCATTTGAAGAGTTTCCAAAGCAAAACCATTCTGAAACATTTCATGCAAAATTGAAGGAAGTAAAGCGACTTCATCCTCATGTAAAAATCTCATTAATTCATTTATTAAATCCCGGTGACGAGGCAAAACATCTCTTCCTATAGGCATTCCAATACCTTGACGTAAAATACTAAAAAAATTATTTAGGCTAAAAGTGAGGGAAATTAAGCAGGAAAAAGTAACAGGAGGTAACAAGCTTTGAAATCTTCCGATCAAGCTGGGCAAAATTTCGTTTACCCATTTTCACTTTTTATTTCGGAAAAAACAAAACTTCGCTCCGTTTTGAAGTGAAATAAATTTTTTGACGAAACTAGATATAATTTTCTGACGAAACTAGATAAAAATACACTACTAATGGCAGGAATTTTTATAAAAATTTAAGATTTTTAGGAAATTTTGTGCAATTTCGATTAAATTTGTAAATTTCTGCCAAAAAATATAAACAAAAAATGGAACATTTGAAGGATTGAAATACAATTTCTGCGGTCTTTTTTGTGGATTTTTTTCTCTGAATACAAATTATTTCGACAACTAAACGAGAAGAGTCCGCAAAAAATCAAAAGGAAATGCAACAAAATTTCTTATAAAAATACCAAAATAATTAGAAAAATTCTTTAATCATTAACCCACAAAAATACCTTACATAATTCTCGACAATTCCTCCATAAATTCCAAATAAAAACGGCTTGTAAGCAAAGTCAAAGCTGTTGGTTCTTGAACGACCAAACGAGCAACAAGTGCTTTACAAGCATTGGCATTACATTCTTCTGGATTAATTAAATTTTTATTACGGCATGTTTGCATATGAGTGCTTAAAATATAAAAATTTTTATAAAAATTTTTTTAAAGAAAAATACGTAAGAGCATCCAAATAGCGGCGATGAAAAATTTTGCCGCATTGATCATAATTTTTGCAAATGTAGTGCTAAAATAATGATATTTTTAAAGAATAAAATTTTTTTAAGCGAAAAAAAGTTCAAAAGTAAATGAAAAAAATTAAAAGTTACATCAGTAGTAGAACCATCAAAATTAACTAAACGATCATAGCCAGCTCCATATTTAGTGTTTCCTTTATAAATTGGAACTCGAAATAATTCCTTGTTTTCCAAGCCTTTTTTAACCTTAAAAATACAAAAAAATAAAATGAATTTAAACTAACAAAGAACCAGTGAATAGACAGTATTTCATAAAACCTCTTCAACGAAAACAGGCTAGTGCCCAAAAACTCTTTTTAAGATTAAGTCTCTAGAATTATGTAAGAGACAGTTAGACTACCTACCGCCATTTAAAAGTCAATTAATCACGATTTTTGAAATCAGACTGATAACTATTAGTTGGTTCAGACTTTTTTTTACCAATCCCAATTTTTGGTTATATATTAATTTTTTAGAGACAGGATTAATCACAACGGACACCCACTGCCATAATTTCCCAAAGCTGTCCAAATCAACATGTTCACTCCATTCAATATTAAACACTCGATGCCCATAATAATCAAATAAATTCGACAAAAAGTTCCTTACTCGTTTAGCACTCATTGAACGCACACTAGATTTCCCATGTATTTGTTCATCCAAAAAAAGATCTTCTGCAAACTGTCCATAATTGTCATAAGTAGAAGAACCTGCTGGAACTGAAACCAAAACACGTCCATCTTCCCCATCTTCAGCATCAACCACAATTTCATCACAAATTTCAAAATCATCAGAATACTGTTGTTGATAATTTAATTGACCATATTCACCTTCAACTGCTTCTTCAAGCTTTGAAGAAATTAGAATACGTTGATTTCTTTGTTGTTGGTGTTGGTCATCTACAACAATATATTCTTCTTGAATTTGTGAGGAAGAGGAACAGGCACCGATATTTCGAGCATTTGAGTGTGCACTCATTTTTCTAAAAGACGTTTTGGCACAAAACTGAAAATTAGGGTCATAAGAAAGCCAAAAATTTAATAAAAATTTGAAAAAATTCTGAGGGAAGGGAAGGCAAAATTAAAATAATTTGGCTAAAATTAACCGTCTAAATCGGAAAAACCGTAAAATGCAAAAATTTGAAGCCCTAGAAAATTTTAAAAATTTCTAAAGTAAGCCAAACAAATACACTTAAAGACAGGCAATCAATGATCGATTTTAAAACGCGTTGTCAAGTGACCGGGGATATTATTTTATTTATTTTTAAAATTGGACATTTTGCCAAAAACAAAAATGGTACAAGGGGTAAAATTTGCCATTTTGTCGATCAAGAATTTAATTTAAAGTTTTCAAGAAGATTGTCGATCAAGAATTTAATTTAAAGTTTTCAAGAAGAGAACGAGAAAATATTAAAAGATATTTGAGAGTTTAGATAGCGAGAGAAAGGGTTTACATCCTATCTAAAATTTCTGATTTGGGAAGAACCGTAAATAAAAAAGAGAAAATTGAGGGTTGATGCAAACCTTAGCAAACGCCGGTTCCCCGCTTTGGGTGCCTGTTTGGGCGGTCTTGTACATGTATGATTAGGGTTAAAAGTTTTACTTTGTACCCAGGCCATACAACTCAGAGATGTACCTGGTTGGAGTTTGTCGAAAAGGTGTTTTATTTTTCGATTACAAAGAGAGTGCAAAGGGGTAAAATTTAGTCGAAGCGGAGTTTTTTTTGTTTTCAGATAATAAATGACCTATTCCTTATATTCCAATTCATCTACTACTCATTTATACTTCAAATCTTTAAAAAGAATATTATCACTTCGTTCATTTTGTTCAGACCTCTCAACTCCCCAAAAAGATCATCAAAAACTTTCAACAGTTAATTTGGCTTACGATTTACATTTGGGCACTTTTAAACGAAATGAAGATAAAATCGAAGCAACAAATCCATTAATTATTACTCACGGCATTTTTGGGCATAAACAAAATTGGCGTTCAGTGGCTAAAGCTTTACAAAGGGAACTTGATAATTTTGTTTTTGTTGTTGATATGGTTTGGATTTTTCATTTAATTTTAAAAGACTGATTAATCCCCGTCTTCTATCTTCAAAATTTTTTATTTTTTGCATGTCATTAAAAAAGGAGCCAGAGCTCTTAATTGTCAAATCTTAAAGTTTTACCATTCCATACATATTCGTTTACATTCTGACCAAGCCTACGGCATCTTGGATTCTTTTTCTTCTTGCTAAAAAAATTACTGACCCTTATGAGCCTTTTACTCAAATTTCTTTTTGGGGTCCCAATTTTCATTTTACTTTTTAGAGAAATCATGGAGAATCTCCGCACACCTCAGAATGTAGTTATCAGCTAATGGCCGCGGATTTACGCGAATTTATTCAAACAGAAGTTTTGAGCCGTTCTAGATTTAAAACTGTTTTTTTGCTTGGACATTCAATGGGAGGGAAAGTGGCTGCGGAATTTGGTTTGCAGGATGCTGAGGTTTTTTTTAATTTATGGGCTATTTTTTGGCAGTTGTCCATTTATTCTTTTTTTCAAATTTCGATTTTTTAAAATTATTTTTCCTTTAAAAACCTGTAAGCTTATTTTTGGGACATTTTGTCCCAATAAAAAAATTTTCGATTTTTTCCAAAATTAATATTTTTTTAATTTACGTCTTCTACCCCTCTACTTGAGAAATTAATAATTGAAGACATTTCCCCCACCAAAAGTTCAACTTCAACTTCAAATAATTCTGAATTTATTAAAACTTTAAAATCTGTGGATTTGCACCAAACTAGGTCGGAAATTGATAAATATTTGAAAAAACAAATTGTTGATGATGATATTAGAGCTTTTCTTTTGACGAATTTGTTTAAACCGAGGTTTGAAATTTTTTTGGAAATTTTTATTTTTTGGACAAAAATATTAAAAAATATTTAAATACTAAAAATATAAAAAATATAAAAAAGCCAAAAGAATTTTTTAAAATATTTTTTTAATTAAAATTTTTTTTCAGAGGTGGCCCATTCCATTGGCGATGTAATTTATCTTCATTAGAATTAAATTTAGACCATTTATTAAATTATTCAATTAAAACAAATAATTTAAAACAAAAATGCCCAACTTTATTTATTGCTGGAAAGAAGTCTGAATATTTAATTGTGGAGAGGGATAAAGAAGAAATTTTGAAAATATTTCCAAATGCTGAATTTGTGGAAATTAGAGGTGCTGGACATTGGTAAGGGATTTATTTGGAAATTTATTTTAAATGAATGAAATTTTGGGGAAAAATACATTTAAAAATTTTTCCGAAAAAACAAATGGGTCAAAATGTCCTAAAATTATAAATTAAATTAGTATAGGTATATTTTTAGTCGAAAATTTTTTATTTTTAATAAATTAGAAGTTGGTTTGGTGGACAAAATGTCTCCACTCTAAAATTAAAAAAATAAATATTTTACTTTTTGAATAAAAATTTTTAATTTTAGGGTACATTCAGAAAGACCAGCACTTTTTGTGCAACATGTTGTTGAATTTTTGAAGAAAGGGTATTTTACTTTTGAACAAGAGAAAATTATTTAATTAGATTAATTTTTGTAAAACGTGTTAAAAATTATTGAAATATATATATAAATAGTTTACAACTAAAAAATGGCAATAATCAAAAAATTAATTTGTAATCCCGTAGTTTCTCTAAAATACCCCCCGAGGGTTATTTTTTCGAACTACCTCTAGGGGAGGGGGGATATTTTAGAGAAAATACGGCAGTTAGATTGTTATCAAGGGCCCGTAGAATAAATTCGGGGTTGGATAACCCGGTTAAATAACCCGGTTAAGCAACCCGGGGGCAAATAACCCTTAGCTACGGGTTAAAATCGGTAGAATAAATTCAACCCCGAGTTAAGGGTTATTTAACACCGAGCTAAGGGTTATTTAACTAGTTGAGTTACTGGGTTATTTGACCCTTTATATTTTATTGTCAAACCCATTTTGCAATAATTGTTAACTATTATTAAAAAGTCTCAAAATCGCACCCGGAGCGGATTTTCTCAAAAATACCCGGTTCCGGGCCACCGGATCCGGAAAAACCCGGTCCGGGCCCGGCCCGGGTTCGAAACTCTATTAAAAAGAGTAATTACTTTTATTAAAAAGAGAGAGACCCTTCCTGCAATGATTCTCACGTGCTTAGGTAAATATTTTATTTGATCTTTAAACCCATTATTATAGAATATTTTAGACAGTCCCCTCTTTGGGCTTATTTTAAAGGAAATTAAAAGTTTAATAGAAAATTAAAAAATTAGATATGTAATTTAAAAAATAGAAATTAAAGAATTAGAATAGAAATTTAAAATTTTTTAAAATTTTGCAATTTAATAAATGTTTTAATTTTTTGGAAATTATGCATAATTCGCATGTTACCCTACCCCCTAGTAGGGTTGCAATTTGCCCCTTACCTGCGGGTTATTCAACCCGGGTAATTAATTTATTCTACCGGTAATGTTACGCGGGTCAGATAACCGGGTTATCTGACCCGGTCATTTAACCCGAAGCTAGGGGTTTGAATTTATTCTGCGGGTTACGGGTTATTTAACCCCAAGGTAGGGGTTAAATACCCCTTACCCCGAATTTATTCTACGGGCCAAGGTGACATTTTTAATTTTAACCATCTTTAAAACGAAGCATTAAACTTATTTCTCTCTTACTTATACCAGCCAACCTTTTAATTATTTTAGTTATCCCATCATTAATGTGTTTGCACTTCCCTAGTTAACCCAACCTATTTAATCCTGGGCCCGTAGAATAAATTCGGGGTTAGGTTACCCGAGTAACTTTTCCCCCACAAAACGAAAAAAAGAGGAAAATCCTTGCGCCGAAAAAATGGAGAAGAAAAGAAAGGTATGTTTCAATTCAGTCGTCATGACGCATCGCCGGATTTGACATTTTTGAAAGAAATTATTGCTCCGCGATACGTTGGGTTCGGAATGAGGGAAACAAAAATATATACAAATTATAAAGTTATGTTATTCTCTTCCTCTTCTTTTCTATTTTTTAAATTTAATTTCCTGTGAATATATTCAGAAATAATTTTGAATGGACGCATTTCTGCTTCCTCATGAAATTCTTTTGACATTTTTATAATATTTTCTTCAAATCGGTTGACTAGGGCAACACAACAAATTGAACCTAAGGAAATATTACAGAAAAATATTATTCGTGTTTTTAAAATTTACCAGGGATTTTGGCTCGATATGTGATAGCAGCGAAATACACACTTTCCATCTGTTTAAAATAAAATTATTATTTTGGACATTTGAATTCCCATAATTTCATTTTTCTCTATTCAAACCTCGATATTTTTGACTCCTTTTTCAATAAGTTTATTCATGGAATTTATTTTTTGGTTGTTATTGTTATCACAAAAATAGCCATCCTCTCCTCGATATTGGCCTTTTTATAAAATAAATTTAAATTACTTTTCAAATTAAAATCCCTAGTAAAATCTCTCCCTCACTTTCATAAAAATCATCAGCACAAAGGGTTACTCCTTTTACTACTGGCACTTTTTGTTGTTGAGCAATGTGGTAAAGTTGATCGCATAATTGTTGATCCAAAATGGCAGGGCGTTTGACCTTTAAATGGTTTACCGTCTTGATATCTGATCGTTATGAGATTTCTATGGTTCTAGACATTTTTAAGAGGGACATTCTTAAGAGACTACTTCAAAATTAATCCTAACCAACTCTCCTCCAATCCATTGATATCTATATGGCTCCAAAGCTGTATTAATTGCTCCGTTTGATACAATAACAGTCCCGGGCTGCACCCCAATTCCACCACTAGTTCCAAGTCTAAACATTTCAAAATTTGTAGCGCCCGCACATAAAAGCATTTGGAGTATTTCATCAAGTATAATTGAAAGAGAAGGGCCGCCTATTCCGTGCTTTAAAACGAAAATTTAGAGAGAAATTAATTAAAGTTCTTCCTCACATTTGCCCACAGAACTGGTCCAGTTTTGTACATTTCATATCTGTCTGTTTTACATAAATTATTGCTAGCCTGATATCCATAAAGTTGTGAGAATTGTTTTGCATAATTACGAATTCTTGTGTAACTTCCTCCCAAACAGACAAACTAAAAAGTGTTTTGATCTTTGATATTTAGGGTTTTAAGCCCCCATATTTAGGACTTTTTTCTAATCTGACCCCATTTTTTAAATTAAACTCCCCCTTCCCAACCTTAACATCTCCATATTCTGCAGAAAAATTAGTATTTTCCGAAGTAATCCCTAAATGATAAAGGATTTTAATCTTGTTAACAGAAGTATTATTTGTAATTAAAGTATCTCCATTAGAAATTAATTGGGAAGAACAGGGCATTTATTAAAAATATTTAAAAATAACGTGGGAATATCTAAAAAGAAATAATTCTTTAAAAAATTTATTTATTTATCATGTGTTTAGTTTTGTTACTTTTTATTTTTATTTGCATGTTTTATTTAAAAAGTAAAGAAGTTATCATCAGTTTTTCATTGCCAATGCTTTTTTGATAAGGGAAATTTATTAATAAAGGGATGACTTTTTTTTGATCAAATAAACAAAAAAGAAAGAAATAGGTACAAATATTTTCTGTTAAGATAACAATTTAGGGGGGGAGGATTAATTGTCATATTTTATTCATGCGACACACATTCCTGTAAAAATTTTTAATTAGGTAAATTTTGAAATCCAACAATAGAAATTGTTCATCGTGAAGAGGGGCTTGAGCCCACAACTATTCTTATTGAAAATCTAAACTCTAACTTACCAGAGAGAAAGTAATTGTTAGAGTTATGAGGTCAAGTTAATTTTATGTCAAAAAACTTTTCAGAATTGCAGAAACGAATTTTTTTTATATGTATACGGAAACATTTTTTCTAAATTCTTTTTAAATATAAAGATTGATTATAAAAAGAATTTACTATAAAGGAAATATTTTTTGTACACATGACTTTTGGTATTTTTGATGTAAAATAAGAGTGATTCAAATTGTTAGATTGGGAAATAAGTTTAAAAAAAGCTGTGTCTTTTGCTTATACGTAGTAAACCTTTCACGAAGATTATTAAATTGTGAGAAAGGTCAGACTAAAGCAAAAGAAAAGTTTAAAAATTATTTTAAACTGTGTACAATAATTAAGTGATATCTAATTTATTTTAAAGCTTATTATAGCTACATATTTAATTCGAGGCGTGGTGTAACGGATCACTCCGGACAGCTAAAGATGTTGGTTGCTTCAGCTGCCTAAAATAGCCCTTTGAATTAGCAGAAAAAATATATAATAAGCCTAGTTCTGCTCTAAATACTCTATAAAATTTTATGCATAAGAAAACAAAGACAATTCTTAAAAATACAAAGATTGTCTTAACAATGTTTCAGTTTTTGTTTTTTACATTTGATACAAGTCTCGTTCTGTTGTATGTCTCTTCTTAGACACCTGTCTTCTTTCTTTTTTATATCTCTTCTGGTAAAAATTCCTTCTTAAATTCATCTTCAAATGCTGGAAGTACTTTTGCAATAATCTGAAATTAATTCCAAATTTTCATTCTGCAGATTTACAGCAATAATCTACCTTATAAGGATTCTTTTCTCGTTTTTCTTTTGATTTTTCCTTACTCGCATTTCTGGGCGATTCACTAATTGCAGACGACGATGAAGAACTTGAAGCACGCTTTCCACGTTTATTAAATGGAAATATTCCCTAAAATAATTTAAGTGAATGTCATTTCTAGGTGACAAGGCCAGCCTCGAGGGCGGTAAATTCAACATAAACTAACAGAAGGAATTGTGGAAGCATTTCTGGCGAGTCCTGCTATCTTTTTTCTTCCACTTGTAAGCGCGCCTCCAATAATATTCCTGCCTTCAACAACTGTGTTTTTAGCCATTCTAGCTCCATCAGAAACTGTGCCTGCAACCAGATGTGCTCCATCTGAGACTGTCCCTACAACAGAATGTGCCCCGTCAGTAACTGTATCTGCAACAAAATGTGCTCCACCAGTAACTGTATTCCTAACAATATCCACTCCTCCCACAGCCATTTTTGCCCCCTCCTCAACTGCACTTTGTGCTCCTTCTATAACTGTTTTTCCAATCATTTGTGCTCCTCCCGCAACCATTTCTACTCCTCCTGCTATAATACCTTTTCCTTTTGATGATGGTACGAATTGAATACAAATTACAAATCCGCCTTCGAATCCATTGGGTTTAAATCTAAACAAACATTTTAAAATTTAAAATAAAATAAACAAAAAATAACCTTCCATGAAGGCTAACTGCTGCAGTTTTTGGTAGTTCGTTTTCACTCTCATGTATTTTACTAGTCTTCGTTATGTTACATTCATCCTCAATACGATTTATGAGCATCTTGTAGTATCCAGGTTCTGTTAAAATTGAAGTATTTAAAAATTCAATTAGTGTATGAAACTCAGTGGTTCGTTTTTTACAAAAGGTTGAACGGGAAGGGGGATTGTAGCATAAAAACCGAAATTCCGGGATGGAAGTCAATGCCGCATTCAAAGTATTTCCAAAAAAATTTAAAATGTTCTTTTAAAATTGTCAAAAATTAATTCTAAAAACTACCGCGGACTTGAACATAAACGTCTAAAGAATTTCCCATCCAATTCTGATACCGAAATCCCACAAAAGAAAAAAGAATATCCTCAAATTCCTCTAAAATAATAGCTCCATTCTTTCTTTTAATCGCTCTTCGAAGGACCCCTCTTTTAAATAATCTCGATTTATTTTCTTCTTCTTTCCATTTAAATTCATCCGAAAATAAAGGTTTCACAAAATGTGTTGTTGTTAACTTTAATTCTTCCTTCAACATTATATTTGAACATAAACGAAATCCTTTTAAATAATTAACTGATAATTCTTTAATGAAAGAAGAAAAATTATTTTTAAAATCCTCTTCTTGTCTAATCATTTCTTGATTGTCCTTCACACCCTCCTCACATTGACTATCAATTGGTGTAAAAAAATATTTAATGCCTAATTCTTTCGAAACAAATTTTAAAGTAATTTCTAAAGGCATCAATGAATTGTTGTTAATTTTAATTTTTTCAATTTTTAAATTGGAATTTTTATCCATTTTATATTCGAAATTTGGAGGTTTGTCAGGTATCATCTTTACTCCAAACACAAATGTTAAGTTGAAAAATAGGAGAATTGAAATAAAATAAAAAGACATTAAGTCTGAAATTTGTAAGAAAATTATTAGAGGTTGAGGTAGCGTCAAACAAAGGCCCGTGCGATGGCAATGCATTGCCGCTCTCCACCTGACAATTGTGCCCCCCGCTCCCCTACTACGGTAAGCCACCCAATGAAACCCTTTCTGATATCTATTCAGCAGATGGTCGGCTGCTGGGGAATCGCGAGTTTATAAATTAGTTGCCGGATTCAATATCGTTTTATGGGAACACCTTTGGTGATAAAAAAAATGATCCGATAAAGGCTATGTTGGTCCCAGCGGTTTTATAATTTTGAATTAAGTTTGAAAAACTGGCAGTAACGAACATAAAATTTTAATTTAACTCCCTATAGGTACATAAATATTAACTCCTCAGAATTTAACTCCTCAGAAAAGAGGCATAAATGCCATTTAAAATATTTTAAAGAATTTTATAATATTTGTCTATAAAATGCCAACGTGTTAAATTGATTATTATTTATAGAGCAGTGTGATTGTGTTATAGAGAGAGAAGTCCCGAGCTCTCAATAATGAGGGAAGTGAGGGTTAAAAGAAGCTGTAAAATAAATTTGAATAGTGCCTTTTATTAAATTCTTGGCGTTTTGTAAAAAATTATTTAAAACGAGAGAGCATTAAGTAAAAAGAAAAAGAGAAATAAAAGAGTTAAAAATTCGGAGGAAAGTTGGGGGAAGTTTTTTAATTTAATTAGTTTTGGATTTTTTTGGATAAATATTTATTTTAGCTATTTAAATTTATTTAAAATCAAAAAATGGGTGCTTATCGTTCAAAACCGGAAAAAGAAAAAATTTATGAAAGTGGAGGAAATGAATCTGTCCGTTTTGCTTCTTGCTCAATGCAAGGTTGGCGTATACATCAAGAGGATGCACACAATTGTATTATTGACTTTATGCCGAAAATGGGCTTTTTTGCTGTTTATGATGGACATGGAGGTTTTTTGGAGTTTTTTGTTTTTTAAAATTTTTCTGGAGATTCTGCCACTTATGGAAACAGAACTGAGGGAAAGGAGAAAATGTTAGATGCTGAATATCTGAAAACCCTTTTTAGAGTTTTATAAACCTTTTGAAGGTTTGCCGGACTGGTAAATCTATTCTCTCGGGTAATTTCTTCTGAACTAAGGGCAGACATTTGCGGGTAGATAAAACCATAAAATCCCAATACTAGCCCCTCACTTATAGAACCCCACTGAATGAGACCCACTTCATAAGCCATTTAATTTTTATGAAATAATTTTTAAAAAATTAATTTTTTTAAAGGTCCAGAAGTAGCTCAGTATTTATCACTTCATTTTCCTGATTATTTAAAAAATTCGCAAATTTTGAACAATTTTGACTCAGAAAATCTTCCAAAATTAGAAGAAATTCAAAATTTGCTTGGACAGGCTTTTTTACACTTTGATGAGACTTTGGCTAATCCAAATGTTATGGAAAAATTGACTGTTTTGAAGGGGGATAGTTCTCAACAGAAAGATTCGCCAAAAACTGAAAAAGAAGAGCAGGATGAATTAATGGGTATTTTTTTAGAATTTTTTTAATTAGGGGAATTATTTAAATTTTTATAAAAAATATTCTAGTTGGCTTAATGTTAGCATTGTCTGTAACATTTAGTTTATTTTAAAAAATTCTAAATAAATTTTTCTCCGCAAATTTATTAAAAAATTGCAGAAAAATCCCCAGCGAGTAGGATTTCTAATAGTGGCCTGACTTTGACGTGATCTCGAACAAAAATCTTGGTTCTTCTTTTAGTTATTTTTTTCTCGAGATATTGATATAGATTTTTGTACTATCCTTCCATCTTTTATCCCTTTTTCATGTCCTTTTAATAAGAAAGTTGCTGATTTTGAATTTTCGGACTGAATAACGAACTTTAACAAAATATATTTTTTTAAATTCTAGCAGAGGCAATAGCTTTATCAGAAGAATCAAGAACTAGTTTAGACAAAATAATTAAACGTTATACAAAATATCAAGAATATCTTATTAAAAATCAACCTCCAGAAAATGTGGAAGGGGAAGTTGAGGAAGAAGAAGTTATTGAATGGTCAACTGAAAGAGCTTCTCGTCGGGCGACTAAACGTTCTGTTATGCTTTTTAATTCTCCACAAATTCCGAAGCGTATAAAATTGAGTGGACAGTCGGAGAAAGGTTTTTTTTAATTCTTTCAATTAAGGATAACGTAGATTAGCTTAAAGTAAATTACTTTAACACGACACCTGATTTTGTGTGTTTAGCGGGGATGGGCCGCGTTGAGAAAAAAACTCCTTTAAAATTTTAAAATTTTCTTCGTATCAGGTTTTGTGTCAAATATAAAGTGCTGGTTTTGGGTAACCCGTCACATCCCTGGTATGTAGTTCCTAACCTAGAATTTGCATAATTGGAATCTATGTCTATTGGGAGTACTTAACTTATGTATGTCAGTAAAGTAACTTCTGTCCATTTATGTTAACTGTCAGTAAATTTTTTTCATTAGAATTTTTCCATTTTATCATACAATTAGATGTGGTCCGTCATTAGGTCATTAACTTTTTTTAATTTTTTAGAAATTGGTGGATCTTCTAAAAGTGCATCTTCAGAAACTGAAAAGCCTTCAGAGGAAAAGGAAGCTTGTATTGATGATATTCCAATTCCAATGGATAAAGAAGAGACAAGTTCAACAAACGGAAAAATTAACGAAAAAATTAATAAAAATAATAACGAAGAGGGTAATGGAAAAATTGAAGCAGTTCATTTAATTGCTGGTAAGGAGGAAGAACTTGTATTGCCTGCTTTGGAAGAATATGTTGTTTCCTCGACTTCAACTACTTCAAATACTATTGGTATATTTAAATACTATTGGTATATTTTTGGTTTCTTGTTTTCTAAAATTGCCGCAAAATTTGCCTTCAAATCTTGTGTTTTTTGGAACTAAAAGTTGAGAATATTTTTAACATGGTTTTGCTTTTGATCAAAGAATTTTTTTCTCCGGAAACCTTATTCAGCGGTTTCTCTATTCACACAGGGTTAAATGTATTTTTTCATGTAGATCTTTTCATTCACGTTTTGACTAGTAAAAATTATCGAAAAAGTCAATAAAAATTAATCGAGAAAAGGATTATAATCTTTATGTACACAATCCGCAAAAATTGGCGTAAATGTTGAATTTTTTTAACCATTTTTCAGATCCAATTGAATATTTTTCTCATTTAATTATATATTTTTTTAAAGATTCTGGTCAAAAAATTAAAACACCAAAAAAGACAACAATAACAACACCAATTAAAGAAGAAAAAAATCAAAATATTGTTGAACAAGTTGAAGAAGGTCCAAGTAGTAGTAGCAGTAGTTTGGACATTAATAAAGATAATAAACCTGGAATTGCTCAATTACTTGAGGGTTTAGATGAGGGAAATATTAATAATGAAGAAGAAGATTCTGATTATAAAGTGGAGGATGATGAAGGGGATGTAGCTGATTCTACTTCTAATGAAGTTGAGGATGAGGAAGAGGTTTATTTTATTTTTAAGGGGGGAGGAAAACTTTTGGTGATAATTTTCGTTCTTTTGGAAGGTCAGGTAGAATTTTCGGAAGGTGCCCTGCCCTGTATATCTCCTCGGTTTCATTTTACAGCACCTTTTTTTTTAAATTTAAACGCCTTTTGTTGTCTATTATCAACTATATATTACGGAATTGTTAATCATCTTTAAAGCATTTTATATTTTAGAAAAGTCATAGCAGTTTAGAAAAATATTTTTTGCCATTTTCCATAGACAAACGACTTTTGTCATTTTTCGGCATATATTTTGGATAATTTTAAGTTAATTCAAAAATTATTTTTATTATTTTTAAAGGGTGAAGCTGAAGATGGAGCTAGTGGTGAAGATGAAGAAGACGAGGAGGATGATTCTCTTGAAGAAGAAGATTTGAATTCTTTAATGATGAGGACTGGAAGTACTCGTGCTGGTTTTGATTCTGGTTCTACTGCTTGTGTGGCTTTTTTGCTTGAGGTTTTTTTAAAAAATTTAATGAAAATATCCTAAAACTGAAGTCAATCTACTGATAATTACATATTTTGTATTAATGATTTTTATTTTTAAATTTTTTTCTTTTAACCTATTCAAGAAAAAATTGTTTACCATGAACCTTTAACTAGTATACTAGTTTTTTTTATTTTAATTTATTTTTGGGTGATTATATTTTTATGTTGTAAAAATAGAGGAGAATTACCTAATTTTAAAAATCTGAAAAAATTTGAAAATTATAAAAAAATTTAAACAGAAACATATAATTGTTGCTAATGTTGGAGACACTCGTTCTGTCCTTTGCCGTTCCAAGAAAGCTTTAGACCTTTCATCGGATCATAAACCTGAAGATGACTTGGAAAAGGAGAGAATTGTTGCTGCTGGTTTGATTTTTTAAAAATTAATTCAGAATTTTTTTATTCTTTTAAGGCGGAAATGTCAGTTCTGATGGACGTGTTAATGGAGGTTTGTGTGGAAAAATAATTAATCTTTTTTAATTTAAAAATATTCAAAAAAAATTTTACTTTAATTAACACATTAAAATTTATATTTTGAAATATTTTTTATTTTTTTAAAGGTCTCAATTTGAGTAGAGCATTTGGTGATCATTTTTATAAACAAGAATCTAAACTTCCATTGAGTTCTCAACAAATTATTGCACTTGTAAATTTTTTAAAATAATTTTTTATGCATTCTGACCTCTCTATAAATACCCTCAAAAATTATCTATATACATCTCAATTTAGAATACATTTTTAACTCAACTTTAAGTCCAATTTTGGGACTGAAGACCTCCCCGATTATCAGATTACATTTTGGTGTTACGACGTTTGTTATTTCGGCATTTTATTATTATGGAGCGTTTTACTTCGGGTTATCCAATGGAACTGGTGCCTCCTCCCCTTTTACTGAAATTCGACCAAATGGGAGTAACTAAAAATAGGATTTGATCATTTTTCTCTATCTTTTTAGCCGGACATAACAGTTACTCAAAGAGATTTTGAAAATGATGATTTTTTGGTTGTTGCTTGTGATGGAATTTGGAATTCTTTAACTAGTCAACAAGTCTGCGATTTTATTTTGGAACGAATTAATCGTATTGGATTAAAAGAAATTGTGGCTGAGGTTTTCTTTTAATTTTTGAATTTTTTTTTGAATTTTTTTTAAATGTTAGATTTGTGATCATTGTTGTGCAAATGATACTGGTGGTGATGGGACTGGCTGTGATAATGAAACAATGTAAATAAATTAAATTTTTGGGTTTATATTTTCAAGTTAAAATTTCTTTTTTGTTATTTTTGCTTATTTTTTTGATTAGTCTCCTTTATTAAAATTTACTTACAAAAAAATTTGTTTAACACTGACCGGGTTCGAACCCATTACCCTTAGACAAAACTAAACATTTACCCACTTAACCAGATAAATTTTTTTATTTTGGATTTTCTTGGTAATTTTTATTTTTTGTTAGACTAAAATCAATTTTTCAAAAAATTTTTTAAAGAATTTTGATTGATCTCAAAAAAGAAAGGCCAATATCTCCACAAGTAACATCATCAACATTAAATATTGAACAAGAAAATTCGAATCAACAGCAACAACCAACAACAACAATAATTTCAACAAATCCAACAGAAGACCAATCAGCAACAACAACATTTCAAAAAGAATCTCAAAATTTAAATGAAAATGAAAAAATGGAGGGAGAAGAAAAGGAAGAGAAGGGGAAGTAATGGTTAAAATAAATTTTTTGTTGGACGAAAAAGAATTTTTGGGAGAAAAGTAAGTAAATTTATTTTAGAATTATTATTTTTTGATTATTTAAGAATGACTGACTATATTTATTTATGAACCTCAAAAATGGTTTTAAAAAATAAAAATTATTATTATTATTTGGATATATATTACTCTACTTTTATTTTATTTATTTTTTTTTGTTTAAAAAAAGAAAAGTATAAATTTCCTTCTAAAATTTAATATATATTTTTTGGTTATTTTAGGTGTGATTTTGAAGTATAAATTATTATTAATTTTTAGGAAATTAAAAAATTTTTATTTTTTATTTTTTTAAGTTAGCGGAAATTCTATAAATTAATTTTTTGGAAGCTCCCTTTTCTTGTTCTAAGTTTTGACTTATAGACTAAAAAGACATGAGGGGGGTAGAGGTTTTTTTAAGTATTGTGTTTAGGTGTATGCTAGGGATGTGACGGGTCAGATTTTAAAAGATGAAACGAGAGGCAAAAAGCCGAAAATCATTTAAAAAATTATTTTTTGTCCGTAAATCTTGTATTGAATGAAGGAAATTTATTTTCTTTTTTTAATTTTTTAAAAAAATATTTGTTGTTTTAACTTACCTTGAGAAAGAGAGCTTTTTCTTTAAATTTTATTTTTATGTTAAACGGTGACATTTTTTGATTTTTTGTTAAACCGTCTAAATTGCCAAAAAAATTTGGAAAAATTTTTAAATTTTTTTTGAAATTTTTTGAAAACTTTCTTTGGCAATTTTTATTTATTTACTACCTAAAATATACTCTAAAAACTGCCACGAAAATTAAAATCTACGTAATTATGTATTGCACTAGAAACAATTATATACTCAATTATTTAATTATATTTATTTTGTAGTAAGTAAATAAATATTTTGTTTGAAATTCAAAAAAACCTACCGTATTTACTCGATTAATTCCCCTCTCTCGAATAATTCCCTCTGCTCGGATGAGTTGAAACAATAATTCCTCTCCACCAAATACCCTACTTCACGTTCAAATTTCAAAACTCGAATAATTCCCCTCCCTTGAATAATTCCCCAGATGAATTAATCGAGTAAATACGGTAACCACTATTTAGTTAATACTTCGTCCCATTCAAGTTGACCGTTTGAAAGCGGGATTAAAAAAGCTAAGTCTTTACTAGACCTCCCCAAATAAATTTTTCTGTGACTTAAAACATCGACAAAACCCCCAAAAAGTCTTAACCTCCTTGGCCCGTAGAGAGTAAGGATTAGTTCTCATTAAAAAATCTGGTTTATCGATTCGAAATCTATTAGTTTTTGGATATTCTCGAGTCTTTTTAAAGTTTTAATATTTTTGAGTTACAAACAAATGGGTTTTCTCTATTCGTTTCAAAAATTTTATTTTGACTGGCCGTGATACTTAGTTACAATCAGATCAAATATCTATGCTTTTATTCAACCCTTTTACATATTAACATTTCTTTACTCATTATTTAAAATTCATCCATTAATTAGTTTATTTATTTTATTTATTCTTTAATCCCCCTTTTAATTATTTACTTCATCATCTTCATCATTTTATTTAATTTTGAATTTCTCCTCCATCAGTAGTAGCTTCAACATTTGGTGGAATTGTGTTTCCTCCTTTCTTTGGTTTTTTAGGTTTTTTGGTTCCTTTAGGTTTCTTCTCCTTCTTTTCCTTCTTTTCTTTTCCGTGTCCTTTGTGATGTTCTCCTCCTTTTTTGTGGGGGCAATCTGTGGTTACAGCACCATCAATCGGTCCAACTGGGTATCCCTTGAAAATTAAAAATGAAAATTTTTTTCAAAAAATGTAAATGTCTGCGTGAAGAATACTCTAAAATTTAAGAAATATCTCTTCCACTTTAGTCTTTCGTTTTCTGCTTTCAAGACAGGACCATCCCTGATATAGAATCATATCGGTTATACTTATCCACTTTGAATGTCACATACTTTTAACTTAACTGATTCAACACATGGATGGTTTCATTGGGACGGGTTTGGAGGGGTTTTAGCCACGAGGATATGAAGGAGCTCATCCTTCTGTCTCGGGGTAAGTGGGAATGAATAATTTATATAAAAATTAAAAGAGAATTCTTGATGCTAATCCCCTCCTGCTTTAATAAAAATATTTTTCTACCTCTTGAGCATTAACGCTTTCCAAAACCAATTGGAGAAGAACAATAGCGACAAGAATCTTTGCGAGCATAATTTAAAGTTTTATATTGTTTTTAAATTTAGATGATGGTAAAAACTGAATGTTGTTGGTAGCATTCTGATGGACTTATAAAGACGAAAATTTTGACAGTTAAATAAATAAGATGGAAAAAAATTTAAAACTTAAATAAAAAAGAATTTTAAATTTAAAAAAAAAATTTTAAATTTGAAAAGTTAAAAAAAAACGTGGCAAACAGAATTTCGTTTAAATTACAAACTATAAAAAATTTGGCTAATTTCCGTCAAATTGTCGATAAATAATTATTATTGTAATGTTGGCGGATTTTTTAATAAATGGATTAATTATTGAATTTAAAAAAAATCAGAATTTTAATTAAAAATCAGAAAGCAATTAGAATTACTACTAAAATACCAAAATCAGAATTAATTTTTAAAATCAGAATTTGCACTTTTATAATTTTTATTAATTAAACTTTGCCTGTCTCTTTATAATTAATCCACGTATAAATTAAACCGAAAAAAGGTTAATTATTTATTCAATTATTTAATTTTATTTTAAAAATTCATTAAAATTATATTCCCAGACAATAGAAAATTTTTAAAATTTTTATACTTTTTGAGAAAAATTTGTTTATCTAGCTAATTTAATTTGACAAAGTTTTGGCTATAAAAGAAAGTAAAAGGTAAGTTTATTTAAATTAATTAATTAAAAATACAAAAAAATTAAATTAATTTAAAATGTTTTCCAAAATAATATTAGCTATAATTATTCTCCAATTAGTTTTGGATACTGTAAATACCCAAGAAGTAGTTATTTTTTTATTTTTTTATTTAAAAAATTTCAGGAAGGAGATAATGTAGAAATAGGACCTCCAAAAGTAGTTCTGCAACCTCCAATTGCAACAACAGAATGTGCTCACCATAAAAACAAAAATGGTGGAAAAAAGGCGCGCCGAAATTTGCGGATTTTAATTTGCGGACCCGAAATTTGCGGACCCGAACTTTGCGGACCCGAATTTTGCGGACCCGAACTATGCGGACCCGAATTTTGCGGATCTGAGATTTGCGGACCAAAAATTTGCGGACTGACAATAGAGTCTACTGAACCTCGGAAATTTCAAAAATTTTAGCCTGAGGCGTTAATTAGGATAAATTCAGGCATCACGACCTTATGAAATGGCAATATAAATTATTTTTTAAGGAATTTTATCGATTATTTAAATTATGAAATAATTTAAGGATAAAAAATTGATAAAAATTTTGAAAAATCAAGAGAAAATCTTGATCTGGTACGGATCATGGTAAACTCTGCCGGGATCATCGAAAAATAAAATTTTTAATTTTTTCTTTTTACTCAAGTGTCTGTCCTAAAATCTTGGTTCCGCAAAAATCAGGTCCGCAAACTTCGTGTCCGCAACCTTCGGGTCCGCAACTTTCGTTCCGCAAATTTCGGGTCCGCAAAGTTCGGGTCCGCAAAATTCGGGTCCGCAAAGTTCGCGCCACGGGAAAAAAGCATAAAGGAGGAAAAGGGGCGTTTTTTAAGAAACACAAAGGAACTAAAAAGCCTAAAAAGAATAAAAATGGAGGGAAAACAAAACCCCCTCAAGTTTAATGAAAGTAATGGATGTTTTGTTTAAAAATGTTTATATATTGTTGTTGTGGGGATAAATAAAAACTATTAAACTTAAATTGTTTTTAATGTGAAAACATGTTTTAAGGAATGAGAATAAAGTAAACATGTTTTTGAATAGTATGTTTGAGTTTAAAAAGAAATTAAACATGTTTGTAAAAAAATAAACTTGTTTGTGGAAAAACACCGAAACGAACTTGTTTTTAAGAACTAATTAAACTTGTTTATAAGAAAGTTTAAAGAACCTTTATTAAACAAATTAAACTTGTTTTCCAAACAAAATAAACTTGTTAGTGGAAAAACACAAAGATTAAACTTGTTTTTAAGAAATAAAAATTAAATAAACATTTTAGGAAAACACAAAACATGTTTTTATAAAATTTAATTTTTACCCAAATTTAGTAATAGCAAAATTATTATTATTATTATATCTATTTAATCTATTAATTCCTCTATTACATGTTGATAAAGTATTGTTATTTATTATTCCTCTTTTAGGCGTCCATCCAAGCATTTGAGGTCCCCCATTATATTCAACTTGCCGTAAACTTTTTTAAAATTTAATTTTTTTATTAAAAATATTTTTGAAAATATTACCGTTGCCTCTTAAAACAATAAATTAATGAAAATACAATAGCTATAATAAGCCATGTTGAGCCGAGAATTGAACAGACGACGAGGATTAGAGCTAGAAATTGAAAAAAATTATTTTTTCAATTTAAAGGATTAGAAGGGTTTAGGAAAGGAAAATTAATTAATTTTTAGACAATTTTACTCACTTCCCGATTCATTTGCCGCTGCTAGCAATTCCTTATCGGTCATACCGATTTTTTCTTCTTTAAATATTTTTCCCCTTTCTTGATTGTTGCCAACTCTTTCTACAACATTTGTTGTTGTTGGAGAAGAATGTTTTTCAAAAATGTTTCTATTTGTTGTTTTAAATTTTGTTGTTTGTTGTGTTGTTTCTAATGTTGTTGTCGTTGTTATAATTTCCATTAAAGTTGATGTTTGTGATGTTGTTGTAAGTTTTGTTGTTGTTGTAGTACTAGTTGTTGATGTTTCGGCTTAAAAACAAAAACAAAACTAAAAAGAACTTCAAAACTTTTTTTTTTAAAAACATGAAAACTTAAAAACAAAAACATTGTTTTACAAACATAAACAAACTTGTTTTTACAAATTTAAACATATTTTTGTAAAAACAAGTTTTAAAAGCAAAACTTGTAAAAACAAAAAAATAAACTTGTTTTTAAGTAGAGAATTTTATAAAAAATAAAAAACCATTAGGAGTGCATAATTTCCTCCCATCGCCATGAAAACCTTCATTACAAATACATTCAGGTATCTATTTAATATCAATTTTATTTCTAAAATTATTTTCTGAGATTAACCTCTTCATTGCTGGAATCACAATGAGCATAAATATGGCAATGTTCGTTAAATCTTTTTTTACAAGGATCGAACACTTAAAAAGTATAATAAAAGGATTAAATAAAATAACTATTTAAGAAAAAATTAATAAAGTTTATAAACTTGAAAGTTATAATTAGGTTTATTAATGTTTACAAACTTATTTTTCAAAAATAAACTTGTTTATAAACAAGTTTATATAAACAAAAATAAAATAAACTTGTTCTGATTAATTTTTTTAATAAACTTAAGTTTGCATAAAAATAAACTTGTTTTCCAACAATAAAAAATGTTTTTAACAAACTTAACAACAAAAACATACTTGTGCAATTAAATCCATTTCCAACAAATGTTGGAGCGCATGTACAAGTATACGAGCCTGGGGGCGTGTTTGAACAAGTAGCATTTACCGAACATTTATGTAACTGAAGGGAGCATTCATCAATATCCTCAGCACAGTTTTTACCAGTAAAACCTTTAAAAATAATTTTATTTTAAAAATTAATTAAAAAATTACCTGTACCACACAAACCCCCTGCACACATTCCACTAGCAAAATCACAAGGAATCGAGCCAAAACAATTACAACGCGAAGCACAATCAAGTCCCCAAGTGCCTGGCTCGCATTCTTTAAAGTGTCACGAAGAAATATTTTTTCAATTAATTTTTAATTACCTTGTTGGCATATTGGTGGACCCAAAGTTCCAGACTAACAAGAGGAATATTAATAATTAAATTATTTTTTAAATTAATTTCTAACCGGACAGGAGTAAATTTTTGAAGGATTGTCGATCCGAAAAATCCACTAAAAATCTTTTTTTTTTAATTTTTTTAATTCAAAAAAATTCACTTTTCCAGGCTGTCCAACATTAGAATTCCTTAAAAGTAAATCGACTGGCAACGATTGGAATCCCAAAAAGGGATGGAAAATGCCTGACAACATTTGCCCATTAATAAAAATACTTTGATAAAGAAAAATAACAAAAGTTGAAAAATTGTTTTGTTTAAGATCATCGGGTGTTTGTCCTTGTATTAATGCTGCTTGGAATGTGTTGCTCTATTAAATATAAAGGCTCCCGGACAATCCGTCAGTGGACAATCCGGCAGTGGAATATCCGTCAGTGGACAATGCGTCAGTGGTCGGACAATCGGTCAGTGGACAATCCGTCAGTGAACAAATTCGTAATTCCTAACCATACCCGACTACCGAGGCCAAAGATTTTCATTTCATCGTCTGGGGGTTTATAAGAGATATCAAAAATTTGGAGATAAATGAGGAAATCGGCAGATTTGGCTGGATTAAAAGGATATCAGTGGATTTGGGAGTCATCGGGGATTTCAAAAATAAAGTAGGATTAAGGGGAAAATAAGAGATTTGTAGTATTATGGTGGTTATCGAGGAATTTAGGAGATTAAGATGGATTTCGGTAATGAATTGGGATATCAAGGGATATAGGCGGATTAAGAGGATTTGGAGTTTGTTTCATAATAACCATCTAAAACGATCTCTCTTATTCATATATTTCTCATAATCCCACGATATTCATCCAAATCCAATATAATCCCACACGTTAATCATGTAAGTTTAATCCATCCTAATCCCCTATATATACTTCTAAATCCATCGACATTCGCTTAATTCAACCGAATTGTCTAATATCTTTTAAATCCACTGATATCCTTTTAATCCAGCCAAATCTGCCGATTTCTTTATTAATCTCTAAATTTCCGATATCTCTTATAGTCCCCCACACGATAAAATGAAAAGTTTTTACCGCGATATTTTGCGTACGTGTAGGAATTACTAATTTGTTCACTGACGGATTGTCCACTGACGGATTGTCCGACCACTGACGCATTGTCCACTGACGGATTTTCCACTGCCGGATTGTCCACTGACGGATTGTCCGGTCACGAATATAAACATTAGAAAATAAATTTAAAAAAATAAAAGTTTCCAACATGTTTTTAAACAAACATTTTCTTGGATGTTCTTAGAAATGTTTTTAAACAATGATTTTAAATAAAATGTTTGTAAACTTTAATAATTGAAATGTTTGTCTAAAACTTGTTTTAAAAACATAAGCTTGTTTTTATAAAAAACAAAATAAACATATTTTACAAACATATGTTGGGTATATAAAACTTGTTTTAATTAAATTTTTTAATCAAAAAAGAAATTTTATTTAAAAAATCAATCCATTTTTACTCTAAATATATAAATCAATTTTGCCGTGTTGGCAAATTGAGAAATAATATTTTTAATTCATATTATTTTTTCAAACAGCTTCCTGTTAATTTTAATAAGGGATTTTAAACAAAAAAGGTCATAAAAACATGTTTGTTTAAAAACAAATTGTTTCAGAATAATTTTACGAAAATAATTCAAACAAGTTTTAATCAAACAAAGTCTTCCTTTAAAAAAAGTTTATTTTAGAATAACATCTAAAATTAAACTTGTTTTACAACAAATGCTAACATTTGTTTTAAAACAAGTTTTATTTTAACCCAGAAAAACATATAGAACCAAAACATTTCTAACAACTTAAAAACAAGTTTTTAACATGTTTTGTTTGTTTAATTTATTTCAGAATTTTTTCCAAACATTGTTCAATGAGAATATCGTTGTTTTTAGTTACTTTATTAACTGTTTTTATTACCTCAATATTTCTTACTTTTATTTTTCTTAATTATTATACACAAAAAGGTAAATTAAATTAAAATTTTAATAAAATTATTATTTTTTTAATTTAATTATTTAGATAAATATACAACTTCTGAAAAACTTCACGTTCCCCTTATAGAATCAATTCCAAATACCGGAACGGTAAAAAAATTTTTTTTTAATTTTTTACTAAAATTCTCTTTTCAAAAAAGGTCGATCCCCGTGTCCACTACGAAAAAGGAAAAAACGGAATGATTGCTAAAATTGATATTGATTTGGGTATCATAAAACATCCAAAAAATATTAAAAAAGAAGGAAATATTGAAGCTAAAATTTAATTTATTCAAAAAATTTTTTAAGGGATTTTTTCTAAGCTCATTTCTTTTTTTTATTAAAAAATTATTTTAAAAATTATTTTTTAAATTCACCATTTCTTCGGTTAAATCTTTTTGTGTTGTTACAAGTTTGTTAAATGTTGCAACAATTAATTGGGTAGCCTGAAACTCCGCAATTCTAAACCCATCACGAATTAAAAGCGAAGCACGCGATAAAAGTCCCCCACGCCTTCTACGTTGAAATGAGTCACCTAATAGTTGTGTTTTGTCTGTTTAAAATAAAAAAATGTGTTTTAGGAAAATACAAATAAAATTATTTTACAAACAAGTTTTAATTATAAATTGTTTTTAAACAAACATGTTTTAATGAGGACGTTTTAAGGATGTTTTAACTTGTTTTAAATTAAAAAAAACATGAATAAACAAGTTTTAGTAAATCATGTTTTAATAGCAAAAATCGATTTAAAATAAAATTTGTTTTAAATAAACTTGATTTAAAACAAACTTGTTTTTTATATATAAACTTGTTTATATAAACTTGTTTTTATAAAAACATTTACACTTTAACATAAATTAATTTCCTTACCTTCATCAACAACCATTACATCAATAATACTTCCCATAGATTTAGTGTCATAATTAGCAACTAACGGCAATATCAAAGGAGGCAAACCACCTCCATTATCAGTAAAAATGTTTGATACAATAGTTTCGTTAAGTGGTGCCCCAATTGAAATAATTCCCTTAGGTGAGACATAAAATGTAGAATATTGTTTCCCAAAAATATTTAATGTTTTCCCATGTTCTAAATGAACTTCCTTAGTTGTTAATGGAGAAAGATTGTTGTTAAATAGAGATGAGGTAGTTTGTTTAGTCGTTGTTGGGAACAAAATGCTTTCTATGTAAAAAGATGTTTGTAAACAACTTGTTTATAAACATGTTTTATAAAAAATGTTTTAAATAAACTTGTTTTTAATATAAACAAACTTTTAATTAAACTTGTTTTTAATATAAACAAACTTTTAATTAAACTTATCTTAAAGAGGAAAATAAACCTAATAAATAAACTTGTTTGTTTTTAAAACAAACAAGTTTTGTTTTCAAGTTTATTAAAAACGCTTAATTGAACAAGTTTTAGTCAAACTTAAGTTTATAACTCAAGTTTACTAGTAAACTTTTGTTGGAAACTTAAGTTTGTAAACTTCTATAATTTAAGATTCACCATGACATTGACGGCCATCACCAATAAAACCTTCAATACATTCACAATGGAAACTTCCTTCCAAGTTTGTCTAATGAAATTAGCAGAAATTAATTTAATTTTGTTAATATTTTTATAAACATTTGGCCCTAAGAAGCAGCCAATTTTTTTTAATTATTTATTTAATTAAAAACTTACACATATTGCTGATCCTTTATGACAATTCGAAGCATCCGCACATTCATCAATATCTTGACAATGATTGGAATTTGATTGACGTTCAAACCCGGCATTACAATCACACCGAAAAGAGCCTATTAGATTAACACAGGTTGCGTGTCTTTAAAATTTTTAAAATTTTTTTTATAATTTTAGCAATTTTCATACTTTCCGCAATAATATTCAGCAGTTAAACATTCATCAATATCATTACACCCTTCCCCATTATTTGGATCGCCATTAAACCCAGGTGAGCATTCACAGTGAAAACCGCCGATTGTGTTTTGACAGCGGGTATTTGCGTGTGGACAAACATTCTCCAAAGTATTAAGTACAGCACTCTCTGCACATTCGTCAACGTCTGTTTTTAGAAAAAATATGTATTTTAGACATTAAATATACAAAAAATATTTTAATTACCAAGGCATCCTTGACCATTGGGGTTAGCAACAAAACCTGAGTTGCAAACACACTAAAAAGAATTGAATAAATTAAATGTTCAAAAAAGTTTATATTGAAGAAAAACATGTTTTATTTAAATATTAAAACATGTTTATTTAAAATTAAGTTTGCAAAACAAGTTTATTAAAAACAAGTTTGTTGCGAAACAAGTTTATTTAAAACACACCTAATTTAATTAAAAATAATAAAAACATCAAAAAACAAATTGTTTTGAAAAAGTTTATTTTGCAAACAAATTTGTTTTAAAACATGTTTAGAGAAACAAGTTTGTTTTAACTTATATTAAATACTTTCTGACTCTGACCTGATAAGAACCAGGAAGATTTTGACATTCAGCATTTGAACCACAAATTTTTTCATTTTTAGAAGCACATTCATCTATATCCATACATGCCTGTAAATTAATTTTTAATTTAAGATAAATTTTTGTCTACCACTCTTCCATCTCCTTGCCATCCAGGGGCACATCTACACTCTCCCCCTTCTAGACAGATACCTTGTTCAGCTATACATTGACGATGACAATCAGCAAAAATTAAATTAGATGAAGGAATAAGTGTTGTAGTTGTTTTGGGTATTGATGTTGAGGGGATTGGTGGAAGTAAATTTGGATGGGGACGAAATTTTGACTGGGATGATAGAGGAATATTGGAAGGATTAGAAGGTAATAAAGGCGTTAATTCATTTAAGGATGATTGTTGAGAGAGATGAGGAGATAAATTATTCGGTGGAGAAGGATGAGAAGGGCGTACACCGGCAAATAAGGGCTTTAAAATAAAATAAAGAATTATCCATGTTTAATTAATTATAATTAAACTTTAGGTTTGTTTTCAAGATTAAGCTTAAAAACTAATTTTAAGTAAACTATCTTAATTTTCAAGTTTTACTTAAGTTTTAATAAATTTGAATCAAGTTTAAGTTTGAAATTAAGTTAGTCAAGCTTAAAAACAAGTTTGTAAAAACATGTTGTAATAAAAACATGTTTGTTTGTAAATATATTTAAAACTTGAAAACAAAAATAAACTTGAATTAAGTTCAAGCTTCAAGTTTATTTTATAATTCAAGTTTAAACTTAAAGTTTTACCTGAATAGTAACAGGCAAAACTTTAATTGACAATCCATTATTATTTATTGCTTCATTATTTATTCCTAAAGGTTGTCTTTCTTGTT